CTCCTTCCTTGGACCCTGAATTCCCAGTCTCTAACCCACACGCCTTCCTGGGACGCCCGACACTCCCTAGGATCCCGGCCTCACACCTTCCAACTTCCACTGGGACCCTCAACGTCCCCCTTGCACCCTCACTTGTCTTCCTTGGGTCCCCAACTCCCCCTTCAAACCTTATTTCCCAATCTTGAAACCCCACTCTTCGGACCCCTAATTCCCTCTGGGACCCTCACTTCCACCAACACTCAGCTGCCTCTGGGCCCCTCAACCGCGCGCCGCGGACCCCGCCTAGCCCCTCCCCGAGGCAGAGCCGGCCGGTGGCACCCGGTGGGCCCCGCCCTTATTGCCCCGCGTCCCCTGCAGGTCTGTGCGGCACTTTCGTCCCTCTGTGCCTCGCCTGCCGCATCTCCGACGACTTCGGCGAGTGCTGCGGCACTCCCTGCCTGCCCGGAACCCTGAACTCCCTGCGCACCGGCATGCGCGAGCGCTACCACATCCAGGTACGCGCCGGGCCCGGGACCGCAGGAGCCGAGGGCTGGGGACGGGCCTCCTGGGATGCAAGTTAGGACTGCTAACCTCTTTCTCCCACCCTCCAGGGCTCTATCGCGAAAGACTGGGCGGCCCTCACCTTTTGTTTGCCCTGCGCCCTCTGTCAGATGGCGCGGGAGCTGAAGATCCGAGAGTAAAGACGTTCCCCTCACCTTTTTCCTTTTCCACCCGTCACGCCTGCCCTCCTCTGCCTTCTCCTGGGAGGTCCTGACCCTCCGCCCTATCCCGCTACCAGAAATGCACCCACAATAAAAAAAAAAACCTAAAAACCAACTCCGCCTACATCCTTTTTTGTCCCAGGGAAGGAATCTGGGTGGAGAAGGAGGTTTGGTGAGGGAGGCGGGGACACAGGGAACATGCCTAGGTGTGGAAGGAGTTCCAGAGTCGAGTCAGATGCTTGACCCGGATCTGCTGTGTGCGACATTGGCAAGTCTCTTCCCTCACTAAGCCAGGGAGTCCTCACTAACAAAGGAAAACCACCAACTCCCTAGCTGCCTACCTGAAGCTCCGCCCAGAGCCTGAAAATTAGCCAAACCAGAAAGGCTGTCTGAGGACTGTCCGGGTACCAACCATTCAAAGAAAAAATTAGGAGAGCCCCCCTGCTCACTCAATACCTGTGGACTCTTGGCCTGCACACAATCCTAACAGATGCGGAGGCTCTTTGTCTTCAAAGCACAGAACTGTCAGGTTTAAAACTCTCTAGAGCTGAAAGGCATACTCAAGGATCATACAATTCAATCCACCCCCTTTATTGAAAAGCGACTAGCAGATTAGAAATGTTTGGGTCTCAAAGTTGGACAGACCTGGGATTCAATCTTGACCCTTGCCACTTACCAGCTGTGTTCTCTTAGTAAATTAATACACCTGAGTCTGTTTCTCCCTCTGAGGATAATCCCTAATATGTCATATGGCTACTGTGAGAGCAAGAGATGGAACAGATGGAAAGACCAGAGTCAATTTAACAAACTGTTGTTAATATCATTATGTAATAATGTATAACTATTCTAATATTCATATATTATTTGTATTATTTGCTATTCTTCTCTCTCTGTGTGTATTCAACCATCGAGTGACATTCTTCACTTGGAATGTCTAATAGGCATCTTAAGTTTAACGTGTCTAAGACCTGACCCCTGATTCCCCACCGCCCCAAGTCTGCTCTTCCCACAGTCTTCCTCATCTCAGGAAATAGCGAACGCCATCCCTTCTGTTGCCCACTTTCTCTCTCACCCAGTATCCAAACTGTCAACAAATTCTGTTGGTTCTACTTTCAGAACAGATCCAGAATCTCCCTTCTTCCCATTCTACTGCGCCTCCTTGTTCCAACCACCCTCCTCTTCGGCCTAAACAAACGCAGTGGCTCCTCACTGGGCTTCCTGCCCTAACTCCACCCTTTTAGTCTCTTCCCCACGGAGAAGCCCTGTGGACATCTGAAATAGATCACATGCCTCCTGTGCTCAGAACCCTCTGCTGGCTCCTCCTGCTTGTAGTAAAAGCCAGAGTCCTCACGGTGGCTCAAGGACCCGCACAATCTTCCTCTTATTCCCTCTGTGACCTTACCTCCTCTTTATTCTCTCTACTCCACGAGTCTCTTGGTTGTTTCTCTAAGATGTTAGGCACGCTCCCACGTCAGGATCCTTGCACTGGCTGTTCCCTCAACTCGGAACTCTCCTCAGATGTCCCTATGGCTCACTCTTTCACTTCTGCTCACATGTCATCTTAAGAGTGAGGCCCAGGACTTCCCTGGTGGCGCAGATGGTTAAGAATCCGCCTGCCAATGCAGGGGACATGGGTTCCATCCCTGGTCCGGGAAGATCCCACATGCTGCAGGGAAACTAAGCCCGTGCGCCACAACTACTGAGCCTGCACTCTAGAGCCCGTGAGCCACAACTACTGAAAACCACGCTCCTAGAGCCAGGGCTCCGCAACAAGAGAAGCCACTGCAATGAGAAGCCCCTGCACCGCAACGAAGAGTAACCCCAGCTCGCTGCAACTAGAGAAAGCCTGCACGCACTGATGAAGACCCAACGCAGCCAAAAATAAATTAAAAAAAAAAGTGAGCCCCCCCACTTCCACCTTACATTAAAGAGCAAGTACCTACCTCCCCATCCCCCTCCTTCACTGCCTCGTTTATCCAGTCATTTTCCAACATACCGAATCTTTTATTATTTGGCTCCCCCATGGTCAGCTCCATGAGAGCAGGGACCTTGTTGATGGCTGTATGTCCAGAACAGTGCGGAGCCCAGTGGAGGTGGAGACAATGTGTGATCACAGGTGGGAGACGTTGGCTTAGAAAAGGGAAGAGATTTTAGAGGTAATACAGGGGGGCAATGGAAAGTCAGACAGGCTTGTGTCGGAATCTGGACTCGTCTACTAATCTGCTCTGAGTTTTAGGCAAGGGACTTAATTTCCGAATCTGCAGAATGGGGGAACAAGCCCATACCTCCCAGCTGTGACGTTGGGAAGATTAAAAGACTCATGCCAAGCACCCAGCACAGCGCTGGAGTGCTGTAGGCCCTTGGTAAAATTTCTCCCCTTCTCCTGAAGTCCCTAGGCCATCAGTGGCCACACATGGGCTAGAATCCAGGTCCCTAGCATCCCGTGTCCAGGCTTTCTCTCACTTCACCACAAGCCCCTTGCATTCGGGTGTGTGGGTATCAGGGAGAGGCAACTGCTGAGGGTTTGACGTGGAAAAGGAGGAACACATGCTGTGGGGCACTGGTACAGGGGCATCTGCATAGCAGTGACAGGAGCTGAAGGGAAGGTGGCTCTGTGCCCCAGAGGAAAAGTCCAGTCAGTGCAAACGCGCTGCTCAGGAAGGCAAAGTCACAGGGTGACTGCTAATAAGAGACCTTACCAAAGGGTCCAAACACAACATGGAGGAGTCGTTTTTTTTTCTTTCCCCTAAGCATTTAGCAGGACCTGGCAGAGGGCCAGCACTTTTAATTAATTTATTTATTTTTGGATGTGTTGGGTCTTCGCTGCTGCACGCAGGCTTCCTCTAGTTACGGCGAGCGTGGGCTGTTCCTCGTTGTGGTGCGCGGGCTTCTCATTGCGGTGGCTTCTCTTGTTGTGGAGCACGGGCTCTAGACACGCGGGCTTCAGTAGTTGTGGCCCGCGTGCTCTAGAGCGCAGGCTCAGTCGTTGTGGCGCACGGGCTTGGTTGCTCTGTGGCATGTGGGATCCTCCCGAACCAGGGCTCGAACCCGTGTCTCCTGCATTGGCAGGCGGGTTCTTAACCACTGCGCCACCAGGGAAGCCCCCATGGAGGAGTCCTGAATAACCACCTTAACTCCTTTCTGGTTATGCGGGATGACCCCACTGGCCTCAGGACTCCTTGAGGCAGCGTGTCCCACTGCTAGTTGGCTCCCCAGTTGGGAAATTCTGCCTTATCCTGAGCAGATATTGACCATTTTGAACACCTACTCCTAGTGTCCACTCTGTGCTGAGACAGCTAGGTCAACTTATGCTAAATAAAGCAGTTCTTCCTTGGGAAGTGGAAGAGCCTGGTGGTCAGGAACATGGATGTGAGAGTCAGGTCTGGGTTCAAATGGCAGCTGTCGCTCAACAGCTAAACAGTGTCTATGAACTTCTGTCTTCTCATCTGCAAGATGGGGATTACATGGTCCCCACCTCATAGATTTGACTGTTGGAAAGATCATAATAGCGAGCATCTAGCATTGGTGTTCAGTAAAATGTAAGCTCACAGTCACGTCTTGGAGGTTAGGTAAAGGCAGAACGTGTGGGCAGGGCAATCCCTGAAAACTCCTTAAGTTGCTCATGAAGTCTGAAAATACCATGATATTCACAGGCCCCTAAATCCAACACATCGTCATGTCCTTGGCTCAGAAGCAGATGAAGCAGCCGGCCTGTGCCTAGGGGCTGGGTCATAAGTACACTGTGGAACACTCCCAGCAAGACTCCCACGCTGAGCGAGGCCCACCGACGGGACGGAGATCTCCCACTCCCACCTTCCCTCGCAAAAGCGCTCTTGCTTGGCCAGGGGACTGGTGGATAAAGGCTCCCATGATGCTTTTGGTTTGGGCTGTGAGAATCTACTTGAATTAGAGAAAGCTCACCGTGCTAGGGCCTCACCTCAGTCTTTGCGCTGCCTGAATTCTCTTACGTCAGGGGCCAGAATAAAACCCAAACCTGGGAGCAAGGCAGTCTGTTTTCCTTCCTGAGACGAGCAGGGGTCTCCTTGTGACAGGGATCTGGGCAAGGGTCAAAGGCCTCACTGCCCTCATGTCCCCTCAGGTCATCCCTCCTGGGGAACAAGAGCTTCTGTAGTGGCACCACCCGTGCCAGGAGACGCAGTGAAGAGCCAGCCTCAGGCCACGCGGCTTGGAGGGGGCACCAAGATAAGGACATTTATCTGATTTAACCAGCTCTCAGGTGCTGGGTCAGGAAGCCAAGACGGCCCATCCGCTGCACACAGACAGCACTTGGACACTGGATCTTCCCCACACTATTTGTTGCTTTAATCGCTCCCCCTCTTTCAGACGGCCTCTAAGGGCACACATGGCCTCAGACGGAGAGGAAGACACGGGGCCCAGCTCTCCAAGGTCCAAAAAAACAGCTGAGGGATGGAGTCTTGGGAAAGGAGTCCCAAGTTCAAGATGGTTAGGATGGGGTGGGGATGGGGGGCAGAGGCGGTCCTCAAGGGGCAGAAGGGCTCAGCAAGGTGGTGGCTGGGGTGAGGGTAGGCCCTGGGGAAAAGCCAGATGCTGCTTCAAGGCAGCATTGTCTGGGAAGAGAGCTGTATGTTGAAAACTCTGCCATTTCTATTCGAACCCTGGTGTCCCCCACCCAACCCTGCCCTTCCCGGGGCGGCATCTCAGGCAGGGGCTTTGTCTCCTTATGCCCCCTCTGAGCACAGTGACCCTGGTCCTGGGGTCAGGTACCACCACCTGAGCCTCGTCCCTCCAGCCTAGCGGTGGCAGCAGCAGCGTCCTGCTCTGGCTCTCCCCTGGGCTGCCTCACTGTCCCATCTCTTCTCGGCAGCATCCCTCACCAGTAGAGCCAATCCCCGCACTCAGCTCCCTTTGCTGAAAAGACTCCGGGTGACTGTGTTTCCCTGCTTGGACCTACCCGAAGAGGTGTCTCTAAAGGGGATCTTAGGTCTAAAGCTGGACTCCTGGTTTCCCCCCACAGCTCCAGTCTGCCCCGTCTTTATAAACCCACCTTCCACCCACAGTTTGGGCCACAAAGTTGGGGTCAGCCTGGACTCCTTCCCTCCCTCACTCCGACGTCCACACCATCGTCACATCCTTCCACCCACAGCCTGCATCTGTTCCCGACTCCTCTTCTCATGGCCACTTCCCTGATCTGGCCCATCTCTTGTCCCCCTGCTGCCTCTCTTTCACCGTCCCCAGTCCACTCTCCACAGAGCGGAGTGACCTCTTAAATACATCGGATCCTGTCATTCTCCCTCCTAAAACTGTCCGATGGCTGCCCAATGCCCTGAGAATAAAACCCCAAACCCTATGTGTGGCCCACAGGCCCTGGGTGATCCGCCCCTGCCTGACCCTGACCTCATCTCCTCTTCACACGTGGTCTGGGTCACACTGGCCAGCCTTCTGATCCTTCCAATAACAGAAGCTGGTTCCCGCCTCAGGGCCTTTGTCCTAACAGTTCCCTCTGCCTGGATCCCGCTTCCCACAGCTCTTCCCACAGCCAGTTTCCTTCTTAAAGTCTAGCTTCGCACAGGGACCAACTGACTACCCCAAGGTTCCTCACAGCCACGTTCCGTTGCTACCTCACGGCACTCGTCCCATTCGCCATGGCCTGACTCATCTGTGTGTGCGCGCGCATGTGCGCGCATGCCGACGGGATCCCTTCACTAGAACCTAAATCCCACAAGATCAGGGAACCTTGGCTGTCTTGGTTCCCGCTCTGCCCAGTGCCTTCAACAGTGCCTGGCACATAGTAGGTATTCAATAAATAATTGTTGAATGCAGAACAAAGAAGGCCTGTCTGGGGACCCCCCCACCCCACCCCACCCCACCCAGGGGAAGGAAACCAGAGGTCTCTGAGGACACAGTGTCCCAGGTGGAGGGGCCCCAAGTCCAGGGCGGCCCCCTCAGGGGACTCGACTGCTGTGGCTGAGGGTCCCACCACGGGTCAGAGAGACATGCTGGTGAGGTTGTCCTGGCTCAGCAGTCCCTTCCGGCCTGCACCAGCCCCGTGCCCACCGCCCCCAGCACCCCCGCTCCCCCCACAGTACTCATGCAGCCTGTGCCGCAGAGTGACAAGGGCTGACCCCAGGCAGGCGCCGTTGGGTGCATGGGGCCCGCCAGGCAGCTGGAGCAACAGGGTGGCCACGCCGGCCATGCCATCTTCAGTGGGCTCGAGGGTGATAGGCCCGGCTCGCAGGCCAGCAGTGGTGGCAGGGATGGTTGGTGGGCAGCAGCTCCCTCCCACGGGTCCCCAGGGCCCGCCAGCCCCCGTCAGCAGCAAGGGTGCCAAGAAGGGCTCAGAGCGGCGGAAGGTGGGTGGTGGGAGCCCGGCCGGCTTCCAGGCGGGGGCCGGGGCAGCAGGGTCGGGTGGGAAGCAGACGGTGACCTTGGCGAAGGGGCGGCTGGCCATCTTGGTCATTTCTTGCAGGTGCCGGCGCTGCTCCTGCCGCTGATCCAGGGCCTGCTTGGCCTTCCAGAGCAGCACGCAGAGTGAGAGGAAGAGAAAGAAGCAGGAGAAGAAGACGGAGAAGAAGACAAACAGGTCGATGTGGGCCTGGTCCTGCCTGAAGAAGAGCAGGCCCTGCGAGTCGGCCGAGCCATTAGCACTGGGCCCACTTGGGTCTCCCACGCCCAGCAGGAGCAGGTAGAAACGGCTGGACTTGAGGGTGTGGTGCTCGTGCGGGTAGGTGATGACCAGCCGGTCCCGCACGCCACGGACCACCAGCACCACGGATGGCTCTGTCACCGTCACGTAGGTGATCAGGCCCCGTGGCCACACCTCCCGCACTCGTGGCTCCGCTGGGGTGGCCGGCCCACCTCCGGCCCCAGGTCCCCCCAGATCCCCAGCCCCCCGGGGCCCACCGTCAGCAGGGGGTGGAGGGGCTGGGGGAGGCGGTGGCGGCTGGATGTGTACGGTGTGGACACCAGTGTCGGGGGCCACACGGACCACGAAGGTGTCATAGGAGGTGGAGACGTAGAGGTCCACGGCGCCAAAGGTCACATCCAGCGTCAGGCGGATGTCCACATTGGTGAACTTGGGCTGCACGCCAAAGAGGACAGTGCGGCCGGGGCCCAGAGCGCGGCGCTTCGGCTCGTGGAAACAGTTGGTCTGGGACGTGGGGTCCAGGCAGTACTCCTGCTCCACGGAGATGAGGCGGTAGCACTGCTGGCCACCCAGCGGGCTCCCGTGGAATGACTCCCGGCACTTGGCACACTGCGGACAGGGTAGGGAGTGGAAGCGGCCATCAGAGCTGAACTCAGGGTCCAGCCCTCCTCCAAGGAGGACTGACATTTTGTACCTACTGGTAAGTAGCCCCTGCCCTGGGTTTCCACAGTGTCCCAGCAGCTTCCTTGTGACCCCCCTGGATTTCCCTGACACAGTGTGGACACTAACAGCATCCTACACTCCAGCACTGCTGCTCCTGGTGTCACTCCAGTGACCAGAGCACCCTAGTGGCAAGGCCCCTGGAACTCTGAGGCACAGCAATGAAGAGCTCTGTTGAATCCTGGCTCTACCTCCTCACTAGCTGTGTGGCCTTGGAATAGTGACTTAACCTTGCTGAACTGGAGATTCTTCCTCTGTACACAGAGAGTAAACACGACTGAAATCACAGGCCCAGCACAGGTGAGTCAGCCTTGCCTGCTAGCCTTGCTGTTTCTGGACTATACTGGGTAGGTCCTGCCTCAGTGCCTTTGCACTGGTTGAGCCTCTGCTTGGATCGCTCTCCTGCCTGCCCCGCACCACCCGCCCCATGTCTGAATGTCTTTACTCAAGTGTCACATTCTCACTGAGGCCTTCCTTGGCCACTGTATCTACCATTTCCGCTCCCAACATTTCCTAGCCCTCCTTTCTGCTTAATTTTCCTCCTTACTGCTCATCACTAACACACTACATGTCTGACATATTCATTTGTTGGTTGCTGGACTCCTCCATGAATTCCCTGAGGACAGAACATTTTGCCTGTTTTGTTCCCTACTGCGTCCCAATACCTTGCACAGTGCCTGGCATATATTAGGTGCTCAGTAAATAGGTGTCGAGTGAATGAGTTGGCTGGATAACAGCTATTTTGATTCCTGTAGTCCAGTGGAAACCACTCAACCTCTGGGATTGACCAGGGTCAGTCCAAGCTCCAAACCCAGCCAGCTGTCTGACCTGGGACAAGTCTCTGAGCCTCCTTTTGCTCTTACGCCCACAGCTCACCGAGGCCCTAGCACAGCCTTCATAAGCCTTCCGTGTCTGTGCTGTCTCCACTGTATCTATGGCAGGCACTCCTGACATACTAACCACTACTGCTATCATTAGAAGGTAAAGAAACTGCTGTTTCAGAGCTACCAACAGAGCTGCTGGCGGAGGAGGTCTGAATTAAGCTCTGAAGCTGTCTGTTTTGACAAAGACCAATGGGCCTTTTGATTATGCATCAAGCAAGCAAAAATTCTGGGGACTTCCCTGGCGGCCCAGTGGTTAAGACTCTGAGCTCCCAATGCAAGGGGCACGGATTCGATCCCTGGTTGGGGAACTAGGATCACGCATGCCGCACGGCAAGGCTGAAAAAAAAAAAAAAAAGAAAGCAAGCAAAAATTCTGGTCTTGGATGGAAATGTTAGGGGTAAGGCTTGTGAAGCTCTGTCGCCATTTTGGGCGTGGTCGCATCTTTGCCAGTAGACGGGTAGGGAGACTGAGGCGAGCAAGGGATTCTCTCTTCCTTCTGGAACTAGAGAGAAGGTAGGTGGGTGGGGTGGTAGGAGCTGTACCCCAAGGAAGGAACATGGAATATCCCCTCTGTGGGAGGTGAGCCTGCAACACAGTAACCAACCAGGCAGTCAGTACAGGGGCTCCAGGAGCCCCCCAGCTGAAGAAAGGGGATATGGACTCAAGGGGAATTTGCATATGGGTATTAGTAATAATATGAGATCCCCTACTGGCCCCAAGTGATCAGGTGAGGGCCACCACTTGAGCGAAAACTTGCCTGAGAATGAAGCCAACCCAGAGGAGAGGAGAGTCAAGACCCAGGGAAAGAAGGGCTCCTGACTGCACTGTGTGAGCACCCGGATCTGCCCATTCCTCAAGTGGACTCCAGACCTCAGTGCTAAGGGCCAACACATTTTCTTTTTTGCTTAAGCTACTACGAGATGAGTTTTCTGGCATCTGCAGTCTCTAAGTTGTGACTATCCGTACAGGAGTCCGTCTCCTCACCTCCACCGCCCACAAGAGGCTCATTTCTGGGATCCCAGCAACACCGCCCGGGTCCTGAAACTGACTAGGGCTCAGGAACAGTCTGTCAAGTCGACCTTGATCCCCATGACCACTGATATCGGAACCACATTGTCAGTCCTGCCCGGGCCAGGCTACCTCATCCCAGCCCTGACCTCTTCTGGGCACGGGGCCCTTGGCCCATAACTTGCTTCTCCAGCCGCACCTGGTATTTGTAGCAGTCTCGGCGGTCGCTGGGGGAGCTGCCCTGGCACGTGCCCGTCTCTGTGTTGTTCTGACACGGGCAGCCTGTCCCGTCCTGCTCGTTACATGTGTCTGCATGGCCATTACACTGACATCTGAAGAGAGGGAAGAAGACGGGGGTTATAGAGCTCCCACGACCTACAGGGGCCCAGGCTGGATGCTGTAAACGTGAGCTCCAACCCATGAGGCCAGAAGAGGAAACTGAGGCTCACAGAGGTCAAGCCGTTTACCCCAAGGCCACAGTGTTGGTAAGTGGCAGAGTCAGGATTAGAACCCAGGATGGACGAACTCCAGGGCTTACTGACCATGCAGAAGGAAGGGGGTGGAATGGGGAGGCTGTCCTGAGGCCTCTCCCTCAGGGCCCTCGCTGTCTCTCTTTGCCCAAGAGTCTCCACCAGGGCTGCTCGGTAGCCTGCGTTTCAGCACTGGCCTGAGGGAGAGGGTCTCCCACCTGAGTCTAGTTCTTTGCCCCCAACCCGTGCCTCAGGGGATCTCAGCCTTTCCTGACTGAGGGCAGAGGACTGGGGAGAGGAGCCTGGCTCCCAGAGCTGTTCCTACTGAGCGGGGCAAGGGTTCCTGGCCCCCCTTCCACTTACTTGGTGCACTTCCCGTCGAGGAGGAAGTAGCCATGGAGGCAGCTCTCACATTTGTCCCCATAGCTATTATTGTGGCAGTTCACACACACAGCCTCGTCTTCACTAGGCCCCTCTGTCACCCAGTTTTCGATCTGGCCGAGGAAGGACAGGGTGATCACAGAAATGCATGGACCAGCCCCTCCTCCCTCAGAGCCAGGAGTCCAGAGCCCGGCAGCCTCCTCCTCCCTCAGACTAGGAGCCCCCAGCCCCTCCTCCTTCAGACCCAGGAGCTCAGGACCCCAGTCTCTTGCACCTCATCTGGATCCAGCGAGTACTTCTCCGGCTCCTTCCTGGCCATTTCAAGCTCCTTCCTGGAGACGCAGACCTGGCTGTTGCCCCGACAAAAGGCGTGGCAGGGCCGGCAGGTCCCGCCCCCCACGGCTGAACCCACGAACAGGGGGAGGCACTGCTCACAGTGGCTGCCCTGGAAACCAGGGACAGGGCAGTCAGAGGGGGTGAAGAGTCACAGTGGGTGTGAGAGCTGGGGGAAGGTTCTGAGAGCACCAGGGGAGGGCAGCAACAGCTCAGGCATTTGGCTTGGGCAGTCCCAGCCCACCTGCCATTGAGCCCTGTGCCTTCACTCGCACACCTCCAGTGATGGGGTTTCACTCCCCTTCAGCCCCAGTGTTGCGCTCAGAAAGCCCTTCCCCACAGGATCCCAGATGCTCCTCCACGGGATCCCCCTCCCCGGTCCAGTACTAATTCTGTCCCGCTATCCAGGGCGGCCCCTCTGTGGTACAGACCCAGATGGTGTCCCCAGGGTCCTCTCGTACTTCCTTGGCATAGGGCTAGGCCCCCTCCTCTCTGTGCCTAGCTCACTGGGGCTTGGAAGGAGGCTCGAGATGCCTGAGTGTAGGCTGAAGGCACAGAGGCCCGGGGCGAGGGCCTGAGGTCCCGGACGGACACCTTGGTGTGATTGTGGCAGAGCAGGCAGTGGTCGCGGGCCCCCACACCGGCGCACTCGCTGTGGCGGTTGCAGCGACACTCCGTGGAGCAGTTGTGGCCGACAAAGCCGAAGTGGCAGCGGCAGTGGTCGGGCTCCACGCATGAGCCGTTCACGCAGCCCTGGGCGCACACGGGGCGGCACAGCCCCGTCACGCTGCAGGGGTGGGGCAGGAGTCAGCGCAGGGTAGCGGGCCGCTCCCTCCCAAAGGCACACCCAGCCGTCAGCACGGTCCTCACCGCGCCTCTGAGGCCACCACCGGCCAGCCCACCCTCTTCGCAACTAGTCCACCCCCCAGTCCGCTGCATCACTCCCCTGCCCCGGGTCCAGCCCAGCACCTCCTCCAGGGGCGATGACCCCCTTCCCAGGGTATCCTGTTAAACTAACTGACCAACCTTGCCCTCCACGACCTAGCCCCCGCCCTCACACCCTCCTCCACACCTTGGACTATGTTTTCTTGCGTCCCACTTTGATCCATGCCCCGTCGTCTACTGCTCCCCACAGACTCTCCCACCCCACGGTCTGCCTGGCCCTGCTCCCCTCAACCCCACCCAAGCCCCCGCGTCTGGCCTGTAGCCTCACTTGTCCATGGTGTAGCCCGTCTTGCAGCTGCACTCGTAACCGTGGGGCCGGTCATGGCAGTTCTGTGTTTCATTGCAGTCGTGGTGCCCGTTTGCACACTCGTCCTCAGGGGGGCAGGACAGGAAGGCCCAGGAGGCCCCAGGTCGTCCACATGTCAGCCCTGGCACGAGGATACAGGGCTTCACTGTGGAGGCCTCTGAACCACTCGCCTAGCCACCCGGGCCCTTGCTCCCCCTTCCGCTGAGCGCCACCTGTGAGAGCCGCCGGCGGCCCTCCACGTTCCCTGAACCAACCCCACGTCACAACGCAGACAGGAGCCAGCCCCACTCACCCCATCCGAAAACCCGTCTCACCATCGCGGGGGCCGCTGAGTCCACCCTCCAGGCAGCGGCCACCCCCATCCTGGCCCCCCCAGGCACACCAGCCACAGTGGGGCCGCCGTAGGCACAGGGCGCACTGTGTTGCCTGAGCACAGCCCAGGGAGCAGCTCTCGGGTCCTCGGAGCAGCCGCCCGCAGCCTCCAGCCATACATCGCAGGGGCAGGTAGGAGGGGCTCAGACACTACAGGGGAGGGGAAAGGGCAGAGAAAGAAGATCAAGCAAACACCTCCTGGGTGTCTTCCTGGATTGCACCCTCTTCTCAGAGATCTCACCCCTGCTGGCCACAACCGGGTGGACCAAAATGGACATCAGCTGGGGTCATCACATTCTCCCTCCTCGGCATTTGTAACTAGAAGTTCAGACCAGAAGTCAGGCTAGGGACATCCTTGAAACTAGATTGTGTAGACTAGGGCTGGCTGGGCCGTTTGGATGAACAAATGACAGCAAATGAAGAGAACAGAGAGAGGCAAGAAAAGAGCAGAGACAGAAGGAAGCAGAGATGAGAATCACACACCCCAAAGACAAGAAGACAGGCAGCTTTCCAGGCTCCACCTCCAGTCCCTGGTAGGGCCTGGCTGCACTTTCTACCTGGGTTACAAGAGGCACCACTGTGTTGGTATAATGAGCCCCTTTACCCACCTGGCTTGGGATGCAGCTCTTTCTTACAATCAAAGAAAGGCAATGATCCCAGGTGGAAAAAGAAACAAGCATCAGGAGGGGGGTTGCCAGCCACAGCCTCTTAGAACATGGACCCAGCTGCTGGGGCAACAGGATCCGCCCGCCCTTGGCTGGGAAGTTGAGGAGTCCGTGGTCAGGACTCAGCAGCTCACACACCATCACTTATTGTGTCCTGGGACCCAGACACGGTGCTCAACGAGGTTCACACTCCTGGAAACTTACCTCAGTGTATGAGAGCATTTTATTTACGGCTTGGGCCTTAAGTAAAGTACAAGAGGAAAGAGATTAGTCTAGGCTGGCTGTCTGGAAGCACTTAGGAAGAAACAAAGCAACCATGCAGTCCTGAAATAGAACACCCTGATAGCTGTGGCCGGATCTCTGAGTCCCTATGGGTTACGCCGGTGATGAGTCGAGCCTGGCTGAACTGCCACAGCCAAATGCTCCTCCAGGTTAGGCTTCCAGATCTGAATTTAGTGCACCCCTTGACAAACAGAGGGGCAACCTGGAAGGGGGCCCAGAGAAGCCCGAGGCTCCAGTCTGCTCAGCACTTTCTGCTGGGACCCCCCCTAGTGGCCAAATGTGATTGCTGCCCAATACCATAAACTGCATTTCCTGTGTTCCTGGAAGAGATGCAGGATCCTAGCTCATCTGCTGACATATGCCCACAGACTAGCAAAGTGCCCGGCACAAGGAAGGTGCTCTATGAAGAATTTGGTAAAAGGACAAAGGGAAGGAGGGAAGAAGCCAGCCAGCCAGCCAGCCAGCCAGGGAAGGGAGCACCTTGTTGTCTGCCCCAGGTTCTGAGGCCAAAGGCATTTAGAAGAACAATGCCTGACTGTTAAAATAAGGCTGCCCTTGAGCGAAATCACAATAGGTCTGGTCTGCGCACCTGTTATGATTGATCTGTGTTTTTAAAACACCCGAGCCAACAGTTTTAACTGATTTTCCCAGAAATCAGAAGAGCTGGCAGCAGCCCTCTGACATTCCCATGCAGCATCAGCTCCGCGCTCTCCATTCAGCCGCGCCACCACCCCCTCCCGCCTCACACCTCCTGAGCTGCCTGCAGGCTCTCTGGTGTTGCCTTCCAGTCCCTGGGATCCCAATAAAAACAAATAATGGAAATCTCAGTAATATTTAGGGAGGACGTGTATCACCGGAAGGACCCCAGGCTTGAGGACGAGAGGCCTCTGCTCGTTAGAGGTGCCACCGCAGGGGACCTCTGCCCTTGCAGCCACGCTGAGAGCCCCACGGGGAGCACTCCCCACTCCCAGCCGCTGCACTGACCCTCTTGGTGTGACCCAGACAGCGGAGACTGGGAATCCTCCCAGTGGGTGGAACATGGGGATGTTACTGAGTTTTTACTGAATAGCAGGCCGGGCTCCACGCTCTACATACATTCTCCCATCTAACTTGGACGACCTTCCTATGGGACGGTGTGGTATGACACAAAAATGTATCTGGCCTTTGTCCCCAGTTCCTGGTACTGAGCTACTAAAACACATAGGGGTTCCTGAGCGGTGGGGACGTCTTTTGCTGTTCATAAGGGACCCCTTTTACACCTGAGTTTATGCTTACGGGGTGACTTAGGGGAGTGAGCCGAAAAACCAAGTGATTAGAGCCCCACTCACCCACCGGGGGTCAGGGGAGAGACTGAGCTCTATAAAAACACTTGAACCATGAGATTCAGGGGACTTCCCTGGCAGTCCGGTGGTTAGGACTCTGTGCTTTCACTGCTGTGGGTTGGGGTTCAATCCCTGGTCGGGGGACTAAGATCCCGTAAGTCGCGCGGCACGGCCAAAAAAAAAAAGAACAACAACGATGCGATTCAGAGAGCTTCCAGGTTGATGAGTGCATCCTCTGGGAGGGCGGCATGTCCAGTGAAGGCATGGAAACTGCATGCCTTGCCGATTCACCTCTTCTATTTGGCTCTTCCTGAGCTGTATCCTTTATAATAAACCAGTGTGAGTAAGTAAACGTTTCTCTGAGCTCTGTGAGCCATTCTAGCACATTATCAACCCTGCAGAGGGGATGGTGGGAACCCCCAAGGTACAGCCAGTTAGCCTGGATTTGTGACTGCCATCTGAAGGGGGAGCAGTCTTGTGGAACTGAACACTTTAACCTGTGGGATCTGACTCTGATGTCACGTAGATAGTGTCAGAAATTAACTGAATTGTTGAACACATAGTTGGCGTCCAGAGAACTGGAGAATTGGTTGTTGGTGTTGGAAAACACCCCAGACAGGGTCTCTTGACAGCACTCCTATTTTACCAAAGACTCGTGTAGGCTCTTGGGTTGTGAGATGGTGAGTAATCACACCTCAGTTGGGTCTTGCACAATCTTGCACAATAAAGATGAATGAGGAGTAGGGCTTCCCTGGTGGCGCAGTGGTTGAGGGTCCGCCTGCCGATGCAGGGGACAGGGTTCGTGCCCTGGTCCGGGAAGATCCCACATGCCACGGAGCGGCTGGCCCTGTGAGCCATGGCCGCTGAGCCTGCGCGTCCGGAGCCTGTGCTCCCCAACGGGAGAGGCCACAACAGTGAGAGGCCCGCATACCGCCAAAAAAAAAAAAGATGAATGAGGAGTAGACAGACTCACAACTCTGGCCCAGTGACACTGTTTCTGGATATGACAGCAGTAGCTGAAGCTTTCTTATCTCCTGCTGGGGTGGGGCTGGGGCTGACTGCCTGTGTCTGCCACTGGGACAGCTAAATCATGCCAGGCAGAGGCATCTTTGGTTTTTTTGTTTTGTTTTGTTTTTCAGCCATACTGAACGGCTTGTGGGATCTTAGTTCCCTGACCAGGAATTGAAGCCGGGCCCTCGGCAGTGAAAGTGCGAAGTCCTAACCACTGGACCACCAGGGAATTCCCCCCAGAGGCGTCTTTGGAATGGACCTTATGAGACAGCACGCACTGGGCAGCCAAAGGGTGGACTGTACCTCCCCAGACCATGCCCATGTTCAAGAATCATCTCTCTAGACCATAGCCATAGATGAGGGGTGGGTCTGAATGGCTGTGTCAGAAGCAGTGCTCCTTCCCTTCCCTGGCCACACCTCACTGGACCACGGCTGGACATCTAACTCGTGAGCTGAGCTGAAGTCTTCCCTGAGAATGTGAACTAACAGAAGAACACAGAGATGACTGTAGTCTCTGGAATTAGAAAGTCACATAGCAACTCCCCTGGTGGTCCAGTGGTTAAGAATCCGCCTTCCAATGCAGGGGACGCGGGTTCGACCCCTGGTCGGGGAACTAAGATCCCACGTGCTGTGGGGCAACTAAGCCTGCGTGCCGCAATTACTGAGCCCGTGTGCCACAACTACAGAGAAGCCTGCACGCCGCAACGAAGAGCCCACAGGCCGCAACTAAGACCCAACGCAGCCAAGTAAATAAATAAATATTTTAAAAAAAAAAAAAAAAAGGAAGTCACACAGACTGAGGGTCAAGGTCTGCCAGTTGAGGTGGTGTGTGTTGATGATCAAGCCGAGAGAAACCAGAGGATGGAGACGCGCAGAAAACAGCTGAGATCAGAGACCAGGCGGCCCAAGAAGGATGAAGCAACAGTACTTCCTACCTTCAGACAACATCAAATACCCCCGGTTCCTTATAATAACACCAGCTCGAGTGGGTTTCTGTTTCTCACAACCAAAACTTCTAAAAGTAGAGAGAGAAAGAGATGGAGGAGGAAAGTGGAAAGGTGTGAGAGGGAGAAGGGAGATGGTATTGAGTCATGGGAAGGATGGGGCGAGGAGAGCTTAACTGAGAGTTGGAGAGACACCAGGGCTGAGGAGTCAGGAAGCGGGTGCTGGGACATGACAGGGAGACTCACAAGGCAAGGAGAGGGACTTCCCTGGTGGTCCAGCGGTTAAGACTCCACGCTTCCACTGGGGGCGCGGGTTCGATCTCTGATCAGGGAACTAAGATCCCCCAAGCCGTGCGACGTAGCCAAAAAAAAAAACCAACAACAAGAACAAGGCAAAGAGGGAAGAAAGAGATGTTGGAAGGGGCGAGAGAAGAGAAAGTGGGAAGAAAGAGAAAGTGTGATGGTGGGACCAGCCCTAAGGAAATGGAGGCGGACATAGGACAGCGGCGGCGGGGTTGGAGAAAGGTCAGTGTGCAGCAGGGAGGAGGGCCACAGCACACCCCGCTGGGGGCAGTCGGTACCTGTTGGAGGCTGCTGCTCCAGACACAGTGCTGCCAGCCCCCGTCTGCACCCTTGGAGTCCAGGCAGGAGGTGCAGTTGGGCAGGAGGTGACAGGGCGTGGGGCAGGGCAGGGGGGGCGATGATTCCACCGGCATCGGGGACACGTTCAGCAGAGAGTGGCTGAAGCACGTCCAGTCATAGGTGGGCTGCACCGAGAGGATGCGGCGGGTCTCCCCTGGGGTTGGGGGCACACGGATTAGAAGCAGGTCCGGGCCCCCAGCCCCTCCCCTCCTCCCTCAAACCAGGCCCCTGAGCCCCTTGCGTCCTTGCAGCAGGAATCCAGGCCCCCAAACTCTCCTCTCGGGGAGCAAGCCTCAGCGCTCACCAGTCCTCTTGAACTGCCGCGTCCACATGCACTTGCCCTCCCTTGTGCACTGCTTGCAGTCGGCCGCCCCACACACGGCCTCCGAGCAGTTCCCAGCCCAGAAGACCTCTCGCTGGTTGATGCGACAGTCATTCTCCGAGGTGCAGGACCCATTGCGCCCGATGCAGGCACCCTCAGGGCAGTTGGTACACCACTTACAGCGGGGGGCAGATGCCTGGCGGGGGGATACGGGCTCAGCGGGGTTGTCAGGGCCCCCAGCATCCCTCCAGCCTCAGGTCTTGCCACCCAATCCCAGCTGAAGAGCTCAGTGGTGCCTGAGCCACGCCCCCTTCCCACCCCCACCCCCATCATTCACCTCTCCATCTCCAGGCTGCAGGGTCCGGGGATGGCGGGCCAGGCACTCACTGCAGGTCCGCAGACGTCGACATTCCTCGGGGGAGTGGGGCATTGGAGAGCAGGGGGGACCACCACAGCCCAGCCTGGGGAGATAGGAGGTCTGGCTCATCACATTCAGCCAGGCCCCACCCTTCCTCCTCACCCTCGCCTCTTCCTGGTGCCTCGTGGACACCGTCCTGCAGGTCCCACATATGCACTCCCAAGTGCTCTCAGCACAGGCCTCCCAAACCTGCTCCTCCCCAACTCCCTTGGTGATGGTCCCACGTCCACCTATCACCCAGGTCAGAGACACTGGACGATATCCCATGGCCTCTTGGCCCTCCAGCCACCGAGGCCTCTGCCTCCTGAATTCTTCTCTGACCATCCCCTCCTCCTCCAGCCCTGCAGCCCCCGCCCAGTTCAAGCCTCCCCCTTCCAGGCCTCCACCTGCAGCCTCCCCTCACCACCCCCTCCTTCACAAGCCTGCCCCTGCCCTCTCCTACTTAAACCTTCTGTGCCTCCCCATCACCCACAGTGGAGGGCCATAATCCCTCACTCAAAATCCTTGAAGGCACACCTGTTTCAGAACTTTCCAGGTTTCAGAAAAGCAGTGGGTGTACCCGCTGTTACATAATACCCCTAGCAGAGTCTGGGGGAGCACCCTAAAAATCAAACCCTTTAATATTCTGTAGTAAACATGGTGACACATTTAATGGGACAAAATAAAGCCCGTTAGTAGCCTCATACCACGTTAGTAGCCTCATACCAGTGCAGGATAACTGCGCAGTCAAGTTAGTTTGTGCTAAACCTAGGACAGCGCCTTCAGCCTCCTGATATGTTTGGATTCCCAAACTCCAGACAAGGAGTCTTGGAGCTGGACGGAGCGCAGTTCAGCCAGGCACCGGAAGCCCTTTCTGAGCTGACCCACCCACCTTTCCAATCTCATTCTTCCCCAGCTCAGATGGTTTCTAAAATACACCAGATACAGCCCCGCTTCTGAACCCTCATGGTCTAAACTTGACCGGTCATTTACGGCCCAGTTCAGACCCAGCTAACTCCAGCCCACAAACAGGGCTCCCCACTCGGTGAGGTCCCCGAGCCTGCCCCTGCCTGTGATAAGCTGCCCATTTTCCCGTGTGAGCTGGTCTCCTAACCAGACCACACCCTGCTGAGGCCTCCCCCACAAGCCTGGCCTGGCACAGAACCCACTTCGGAGGGCACCAGTACCACCCACCCACCCACGTGCTGTCAGTCTCCATGGTTACCTATGGGCCTGGTCCCCGGACAGGCAGGCCCCATGGCACCAGGTACAGGCCCCAGACTGGTTACAAGCTTCGGGCGAGGGCAGCAGGTGGCAGGGGTCCGGGGGCAGGGTCAGGGCCAGCAGGCGGCCCAGGGCCACTCCCCCAAAGCCTCCTGAGATATACAGGCGACCCCCTACCGCTGCCACAGCGTGGGCCACAGACTCCTCCATTGGTGGTCCCACAGAGGCTGGGCCTGGGGAAAGACAGAAAGTTCAGAGAGAGAGAGCAGGAGACTCGAGGAAGAGATTCACACAAAGGTACCAGTCAGAGAGGGATGCTGAGAGGAGAGACAGTCTAAGGAGAGCAGAGACAGACAACGAAAGACAGAGAGAAGACAGAAAAGGCCAAATAGGACAGGAGCATCAGACACAGCAAGACAAAAGAGAGGGAGAGAGACACATAAACAGAAAAAAGGAACAGAAAAGAGTGGAATAAGAACAGAGACATGGGCTTCCCTGGTGGCGCAGTGGTTGGGAGTCTGCCTGCTGATGCAGGGGACGCGGGTTCGTGCCCCGGTATGGGAGGATCCCATATGCCGCAGAGCGGCTGGGCCCATGAGCCACGGCCGCTGAGTCTGCGCATCCGGAGCCTGTGCTCTGCGGCGGGAGAGGCCCATGTACCACAAAAAAAAAAAAAAAAAAAGAACAGAGACAAATGTTGTGGAACCCGGGGACTTCGCTGGCAGTCCAGTGGTTAAGACTCTGCACTTCCACTGCAGGGGGCATGGGTTCAATCCCTGGTCGGGGAACTAAGATCCTACATGCCACGTGGCGTGGCCAAAAAAAAAAAATGTTGTGGAACAAGACTAAGGTGGTGGCTGAACCACACTGTGAAGGTACTAAATGTCGCTAAATTGTTCGTTTTATGATGACTGATTGTGTTATGTGAATTTCACCTAAATTTTTTTAAATCCTCAAGAAAAAAAAAGAGTCAGTGGAAAAAATAGATTAAAAGCGAAAGAGAGTTAGAGACAGAGGCTCAGAGAAAGCAACAAAAAGCAAAGGAGACAGGCCCGGAGACACACACACACAGTCAGTCATTTACAATGACTGTCAAATGAAATAAAACGGCAAGATACAATCCCTTTCCAGCCTATGAACTGGAAGGAAGCACCCTCACATATGACAGTCGTTGCCTCTAGAGAATGGGATTATGGGGGACTTTTTCCTTCCTATTTTACAAATTATCTACAATGACCATCATTACTTCATAAACAGAATTAAAAATTTTTCTAAGACAGAAAAAGAAGGAGGGTGTCTCCGTGGGTGCTTAGATAATGTGGAGAGGACAGGAGCTTTGCCTGTGGGCCTGAAGGGACCCAAATGACCCCTAATGAGTGAGAGTCGCAGGACAGGGCCAGCGCTCCCCCTGGTTGTCCCGCGGCCTCCCAGGGAGAGTGGTGGACTTACGGATGAGGTCAGGCAGGAGCCAGGTGTTGCAGTTGACCTGGTAGAGCAGGACATCGCTGCTGAACTCATCAGGGTCCGAGCGCCCCCCAAGGACCACCATGGTGTCTCCTAGCAAGGCTGAGGCGTGGAAAAGTCGGGGGCGGGGCTGATGGGGAGACACACGGCAGGACGGGCTGTCAGAGCCCACGGTCACCCGCTCTTCGTGCTTCCTCTCAGCCCACCCGCCACTCCAAACCTCCCCACGCCCCAGCCCCTACCAGCCCACCCAATCCTAACCTTCCTCAAATCTCACCTCCTTCCTCCGGGAAGCCTCCCTCATTCCTCAGAGCTGTCTCCACAGCCATCTCCTTTCCCTGAACTCCCAGAACCCCCAAACCCCATGCTGTTCCTCAGGAACCCAGCCTCAGATGCTTGAGATGAGCCCCACATTTCTTGGGTGACCTCGCCAGCTGGACCGGGGTGTATCCTGCTGGGGCTCTTACTTCCATCTCCCTTGTGGTCCAGCCCCAAGAAGGGCTTGGGAATATGTGTGTGGATGGCAAATGCAATTGTCTCTAAACAGCATACCCGGGGTTTCCTGCTCTCCCACTGTCTCCTTTGGCCTTGAAGGCAGAAGCACAAGGAGCCTCAGTGTCCCGTTTCACAGCTGGAGAGGCCAGGAAGGGGAGGGACCTGTCACGGCCACGCCCAGAGTGTGGCAGAGCTGGGACAGAACCCAGGCCTCTGACCTCCTGGTCTAGGATTCTTACCTCCAAGTCACAGAGAGAAGAAGGGGAGACTTGGGGTACCAGAAAGGAGGCAGAGTAGGAATCCAAGGTTGAGCCAGTCCCTGGGGCACTGGGAAAGGGGGGGCCCCCCTCCCTCCTACCCCCTACACTCATCTGTCTGGACCTTTTTTCCTGACCTTTGCCCCCTGAGAAGGGGCCAGCAGGCTCCAGGTGCGGTCAGGACAGTGCAGGGAGTAGAGCTCAGGGGATGGGGCCGCCAGCTCCACGTGGAAGCGGAAGCCCCCAAACACGTAGAGGGAGTCAGTGGCCTCGTGATACACAGCGGAATGACCATATAGACCTGGGGGTGAAGGATTAGTGAGCACAGAGGCTGGGGGAAGGGCTGGTGATCAGGAACACTCCCCGTCTTCCTGGGCTCCCCCTCTCATGACCACACCACCACCCTACCAGGCCCTGATGCCAGAGACCTGGAAGCCTTTCTCAACCCCTCCTTCTCCCTTCGGTTCTAAAGGACAACCATTAAAGGGACCCTGGGAAAGACAAGAGAGGGAGACAGGGTGACCAGAATGACCTTGCGGATGGTGATTAAAGAATGTAGAAGGAGAGAGAGAGAAAGGAAAATACCTGAGGGGCACTGATCTAGGACCTAGAAGAGGGAAACAGTGACCCACTGCTACTGGGCAGGAGGTAGGCAGCTTCTCATGAAGTCTGGGAAGGGTATAGAAACTGAACTTCTCAAAAGGCAGCATCCTGAGAATGTGGGCGGGTGATGGGGGTAGACAGGGAGACAACAGGTAGGGGGGGCAGTGACCACAGCCTACAGGAGTGGACAGAGAGGATGGCTGGGAGTCAAAAGCATAGCGCCCCCTCCCCGCCATGCCCTGTCCCCAGGCCCACCTGTGGGAGGTGTCCCGCTCTGGGCTCCGGACACCCAGGTGCCGGTTGCCAGCTGGTACTCAAGCAGCTGCTGGTTGAAGCCATTTTCAGGGGAGTAACCACCCACCAGGAGCAGAGACAGGCCTCGGCGGGCAGTAAGGGTGTGACCAGCAACTGCTGGCAGCTCCACGGTCTGCGGGGCCTTGGGGATGAAGGGTGGAGGTCATGGGGGTGGGGGGCAGAGGTCAGGGGTCATCTTGTGGGTAGAAGCAAGGCTCAGAGCTCCCCGAACTCCCCTTGAACCACTAAGGAGGTCGTGAGCTGCCTGGGGCGGGTCAGACCCCAGGCCTCCCCGCCAGCCGTGGTCCCGGCAGGTGAGCAGCAGACCTCTTGCTGTCTCTGCCTGCTCAGTGTCACTTCTTCAGGTAGGAGTAGCCTGGGGACCCTTTGCGAAGCCCTTGCTCCTCTGCTCTCTGGCTGCATGGGGCTGACTGTACCGGCTCCACAGCGGGCTGTGCCCCAGCCTGGAGACCAGAGCCTCACGTCCCCTTGGCTAGGGACTGACTCAGGAATGAAATGTGACCCACAATGGCCACTGAAATTCAGTTCTGGGGCTTGTGCTGAAGCCCTGGGAGGAATCCTCTTCCTCTGGGGGCAAAGCTGGCAGGAGCTGCTCTGGTCACCTTTGCTAGAGCCTGGTTGTGGGGACTAGGGGAGGGGAGAGATGCTCACCTTCTCCTGCCGCCACTGCAGGGTGGTGAGGTTGAGGACCCAGAAATCCCGGGCGACGCCCCCAGCCGTGAGCCCCCCCAACAGGTACATGGCGCCACGGCCAGCAGGCACATAGGCAGCTGCATGGAAGGAGCGGGGTGAGGGGCCTGGGCCCCCGTCCTCAGCTCCTGCCAACATCTGTGTCCACCGCCTTTCGCTCACTGAGTACCTGGGGCCAAGATGCAAAAAGGCAGCCTCACTATACAGTCATACCAGCATGCCCTTGGGTGACCCCCCTACACACTGGTATCCCAGCAACCCCTGGGATCACCCCCCCAACTTGGCAGGTATCCCAAAACCCCTAAGGTGACCCTCCTATGACAATCACCTTACCATCCCCTGGGGTAGCACCACCCAAATAAGTGTCCCAGTCCCTGAGGTCAGCCTCCTGCGACAAGTGTCCCAGCATCCTTTGGGGTATCCTTCACCTGTAGACGTTGTCCTGCACCCCCCCGAGGGGACTCTTATGTCAGAGACGTCTCAGTGTCCCCTGAGGTAACCTTTTCTCATTCAGGCATCCTACCTCCCCAGGGCAGTCCTCACCTGTACAGGTTTCCCAGCAGCCCCTGGGGCAGACCCAGGCCCCCAAACATCCACAAGGTGGCCTCAGGTCCCTCCACCATAGTGTGCCCCAGGCGGTGCAGGAAGCGGCTAGCTGTGTCCTGTGGGTGGGGTGCAGACGTGAGGGCTCAGGTAAGGGCATTACAGAGTGGCAGGCTGGGCCTAGTGGGTAGTCTCGGGAGTGGAATGGGGAGAAAGATCCAGGAGGCGGGCTGCATGGCACCTCCCCACCAAGGGGCATCCACAACTCACGGCTGAGAGGCGGCTGTCCATGAGGGTCTCCCAGACCAGCTGCCCACCGTCCAGCTTTGTGGCACAGTCAGGTCCCCCGAAGCCCTCAGCACAGATGCACACGCCCAGGCTCTGGGGAACAGCAGAAGGAAGCTTGGGAGGAGCCCTGATTACCCCCACCCAGCTCCCTGTCCCGTCCAGCTTGCCCTCTTTCACCTGTACCTGGTTACAGGTCCCTGCCCCGTTGTGGGCATTACAGTTCTCAGGACACAGAGCCATGCGGCAGTGTGGGCCTGCCCAGCCCTGGGGACATCGGCAGAGTCCAGCATCTGCGGCCCCGTCCTGGGGCACACACTCCTGGGGGACAGGGCAACTCCCGGGGCCCCCTGACCCACAGCGGGCAGAGCCCACAGAGGCATTGAAGCCCCAGGACGAGGAGCCGTTGGCCTCCCAGTGCAGCACCAGCAGCCCTGTTGGAGAGAGTCCAGAGGCTTGTCACAAGACCTCAGTAAAGTGATATTTAAAAAGGGGGCGGTGGTGGGGCTTCCCCGGTGGCACAGTGGTTAAGGATCCACCTGCCAATGCAGGGAACACGGGTTCGAGCCCTGGTCCGGGAAGGTCCCACATGCCGCAGAGCAAACAAGCCCATGCGCCACAACTACTGAGCCTGCGCTCTAGAGCCCGCGGGCCACAACTACGGAGCCCGCGGGCCACAACTACCGAAGCCCACACGCCTAGAGCCCAGGCTCCGCAATAAGAGAAGCCACCGCAGTGAGAAGCCTGTGCACCGCAACGAAGAATAGCCCCCGCTCGCCGCAACTAGGGAAAGCCCGCATGCAGCAACAAAGACCCAGCGCAGACAAAAATAAATAAATTTATTTAAAAAAAAAAGAGAGGGGTGGCCTGCAGGCCCTCTGACCTCATCACCTCCCTCTCTCCTGGCCCTCCCCGCTCCAGCACCACCAACCCGCTTCCTGTTCTCAGAGCCTGGGCATCTGCTATTCCTCCACCTGAACTAGTTGCCCCTTCCCCACACCGTGAAATCTCCCTGCTGCAAAGACTCCCTCCCCAACTCCCCAGACAAGCCAGGCTCCCCACTCCTTTCCATTTCCTCCTGTCCCTTACCAAAAGTGTCACTATTCTGCCTACAATTTGCTCCCTGCTGTTTGTCACTCCCCACCTCTGCTGTGAGCCCGTGAAGGCAGTGCCTGTGTCCCTTGTTCACTGCCACATGCCCAGAATTTAGCTCAGGCCCAGCTTACTGCAGGTAGACATTTGCTGAGTGAAATGAAATCGAGGGCCCCTCAGCTCTAGTTGCTCACTGTGAAGGGTCTGGGCTCGTGTGCAATCGCCGTCAGGCCAACTACAACTCTGCCCTCTCTCTCACAGCCTTGGAGCCACTCTGATTTACAATATGAAGAGAAGCATCTCCAAACCTAGGCCCTTTAACTGCCATGGGTAACAAATTATTTCTAGTGCATCTCCATCAGCTAAGCACAGCTGACGCAATGGGGCCTGGGAATTCTTGGTTGTGGGGGCTATAGCCTATGCACTGCAGGATGCAGAGTAGCATCTCTGGCCTCCACCCACGAGATGCCAGTAGCAGCCCCGATCACGACAATCAGAATGTCTCCAGACACAGCCAAATGACCCAAGGGGCAAAGTCACTCCTGGCTGAGAACCAGCGGGCTGAGGAGATAGATGCTCAGGGGCCCTCGCACCAGCTACATTCTGTGTGTCCCAAAAACATGTCCCACGTGGCCCTTCTTTCCAGAGACACAACCCAGCCAGTACAATCCTCTCTATTCGCCTCTCAGCTGAAGAAACTGAGACCCAGAGGTGGCAAGGGACTGCCAGCAAGTCTCTGGCAGAGTCAGGCTGGGTTTTGAGCCCACCTCAGGTAGCAAGGTATAGGGACAAGGGACAGCCCAGGACAGAGGTCCCACTTCCCCCAGTCCCCATACCAGACAGGGCCTGCACAGTGAGAGGCCTGTCCCGCCGCTGGCCGCAGAAGGCAGCAATGAGGCTACGGTCCGACTGGACGACACCAGTGTCCAGGAAGCGTGGGAATCCATCAAAGGCCAGGACATAGCTCAGCTGGAGAGGTGTAGAGTAGGATCAGGGGATGATGAGGATGAGAAAGAGGAATGCTTGGGGTCTGGGAGGAGGTGCAGCTCAAGCAGAGAGGGCAATCTGAGACTGGGGAAAAGGCTGCTTGAACCACCTGGGCAGATTGTCAAACTGTGGCATGGAGGCCACCATTCCCACTCCTGTGTTCATAACAGACATGGTTAATCAATCAGGCACTCTTGCATGGAGGCTCTTTCTCAACACACAGATCCTGGCAGCCACCACCAATCGATCAGAGTTGGCACACAAGGTACCAATATTTACCATACCTGGACTGGGGAATGGGAAACTGGAGTCCAGGAAACAGGAGGCAATCTGGGAAATGGGAGGGTCTGTGGGCTTAGGAACAAATGGGTAGGAGTCTGAGGAACAGATCTGGGAGTTTGATGGATGAAAAAACACGGACGTGGGGGCCAGGGTTCGTCTGAAGATTCAGACTGGGTGGGGGAGACGTGGGCCTGTAATCAGTGCCCTTGGTGCTCACCGTGCAGGGGGTGCTGCTGTCGGGGGAGAAGGTGAGGGTAAGTGGGGGACAGAGGGTCCCAGGGGCACAGGGCTGTAGCACCTCGGTGGCTGAGACAACCCACACACAATAGGACAGGCCTGGCCCAGCTCTCGCTGCCCCACCACCTGGAGGCAGTAGCCCCCCAACCCGGCGTGAGCCCAGTGCCACGGAGGACACGTTGGTGAGGAGGGCACGACCCCCACACTCCCGGAAGCAGGAGCCACCAGCCCTGGGGAGATGGAGGAGAGCCAGTGTCAGACCAGTCCTGCCCTATCCCACCATGTCCCTAACCCCACCCTGCCCCGCCTGGGTGGCCCCTGGCTCACCGGGGGTCCCCATAGTAGCCAGGAGAGCAGAGCTGGCAGTGGGCGCCCTCAGTGTGGTCCTGGCAGAAGCAGAGCCCGCTGAGGTTGTCGCAGTGGCCTCGGCGTGGGTCCCCATGCCCGTTGCACTGGCAGGGCCGGCAGCCGCCTGAGCCTGTGGCGTTACCAAAGCTGCCCGGCCGGCACCGTTCGCAGTGTTCCCCCCACGTCCAGTCTGTGGAGGCCCCAGCAGCCAGGATGCAGAGTCAGCGGCAAGAGCGAGAAGGAGCCCGACCCTCCCCAACCCCACCTGGCTCAAAGGAGGGTAACTGGAACCCCGACTGGGGAGCAACTGCAAATCCCAGGAGGGAGTACTGAGGCCCGCCGGAGGGGTGGGTGGCACTGAAACCTGTCTGGGGTGAGGAGCAGGCAATGGGACAGGGGGACTCAGAGCTGGGGAGGGGACGCAGAACCCCACACAGACAAAAGAAAACAGAAGCCCCGAGGAGGCTCCCTTGAGGCAGCCCTGAGGAGCTCAGGATGAGGGCTGCTCACCCTGGCACTCATCGCAGAAGCCGGGCCCCCGCTTGTGGCAGTGGCTGTGGAAGTTGCAGCCACAGTCCCGAGAACAGCGGGGGGCGGGGGGTCCTGGGGCAGGCGTGGGAGGGGGCAGGTCCGATGTCCAGCCCAGGTCACACACGCAGGTGAAGTCTGGGGGGCCACTGCACACGCCATGGCCACAGTCCTCCAGGCACCTGAGGGGGCATGGCAGGGGTGGGGGAAGGACTGGGTAGGCCTGGAGCCCCCAAGACATCCCCCCTCATCCCACTCCACCCCATTATCTCCATGGCAACACCATCATAAGCTACTGCCTGTTCCACAGATCCTGGACTCCATGGGTGGCCGTGTCTCCAAGGCAACCCCATCACATGTAGTAACTCCTGTCTCTATAGTAACCAAATATCACCACTGGTGATCTGTTCCCTGTGAAAACCCCTTTCAACTTGATCCTCCTCCATTTCTACGGCAACGCTGAAGCCTGTGGCCTGCAGTCCATGGGCGACCTGTCTCCGCAGTTAACTAGTGTTACGTTGAGGACCCTATCACTCTAATGAGGGCCTGCTCTACAAGGTAAAAACCCAAGGCTCACTGGAGAGGCTGGCACCATGGGAGGCAGCCCAGCACTGTGATCACTTCCTCCCAACATCTCCGCATGCACCAGCCCTGGGGCGACATCTCCATGGAAACCCATGCCCTACTCACGTGCGGTTGCAGTATGTGATGCCATCACCCTGGTAGCCCCTCTGGCAGTGACACTCATAGCTGAGGGGTGTGTTCAGGCAGGTCGCCCGCAGGTGGCACCGCGCCAGGCCCAAGCGACACTCATCCACATCTGGACAGCGGGCATATGCCCAGCGGGCAGGGAGGGCCACAGACAGCCCCAGGCCCTCCCCGACCCACAGGGAGCAGTTACCCCCACCCAGAGGCCCGGAGAAGTCCCCCTGGAGGCAACTGGGGAGGGAGGCGAGGTTGAAGAAGGTGGTTGGGTCGGGGTGGGGGGGGCGGGGGGATGATAAAGAAACAAGAGACAGAGACAGGAAAACAGTAACAGGGAGAGGGGAGATCAATCAGAGACAGAGAAAGAAATATGAATACGGAGAAAGACAGAAAGAGGGATGGAAGAGAGGCAGAGAAAAACCCAGAGAAGCCAGACAAAAAAGGATTTTAAAAGACAGGAGAGAGAGAGGGATACAGTGAAAGGGAGACAGAAGAGAAACAGAAACAGACAAGAAAGAAAACAGAAGGAAAGATGAGAGAAAACAAGTCACAGAGACAGGGGAAGAGTTGGCAGGGAGAAAAGAGAGAGCGAAACAGAGAGAAGGAGAAGGGGGGGAGAAAAACAGAGATGATGGCAAGAAAAAGGCAAAGGGGCAGAGAAACAGAGGCCGTTAGAATTAGGGTGGGCGGAGAGCCTCCACCCGGCCCCGCCCCCAGGGCCCCGCCCTGCCTCACCGTCCCAGCGTGGGGTTGTCCTCATTGCCACACCAGCCACACTCGTGGCTCTGCAGACACTCGTGGCAGGTCAGGAAGCGGTCACAGCTCCGGCACCGTGGCTCTGAGTGCACGCTGCAGGGTGATGGGTGTGGGGCTGTCAGAGCCACCCCTACCCTGGTCTCCGCCCTCCCCTCCTGGAACCCTGCCACCCGGACCGCACCTGTCGTCCCAGCCTCGGCAGCCCCCGTGCGGGTACCGGGCCAGGTAGGCGGCGAACATGAAGCAGGTGTGGGTGGACTGGCACCAGGCACACTGGCTTGAGTTGGCCAGGCAGTCGTCACAGGTCAGGCGCCTGGGGGCGGGGAGCAGGGACAGGGTCACCCCACAGCCTGGCCCCCACACACCCTCACACACCCTCTCCCTGGGCCCAGCTGGGCTCACTGGCTGCAGAGTGGGGGACACTCTTGCAGGCTCTTCAGGGCACCCCGACCCCGGCCCCGCCGGCTGCACGCTGCGTCCCCCTTGCGGCTGGTGCTCTGATGCCACTCGCAGAAGGGGTCCTGGGAGGTTGGAGGAATAAGAGCCCAGCTTAGCCTTCTCCCTGGGGCTCCCAGCGCCAGTCTCCCAGCACCAGTTCAACAGGCAGCTGCCTCCCTTGCCTGCCAGGGCCCACAGACCCCTGTTCCAAGCCCAGCTTCTTCCTACAGCCACTGACATCCATGGGTTCTGCCTCACCAGCACCCACTCCCTTTTTGGGCAGTAGCACCACTGTATGTGGTCCAGGTGGCGCTGATTCAATCCCTGGGGTCCAGAGATGGGCAGCGGGACACTCTCCTTCCTCCCAGCCTCACTGATCGGTCCAGGAACTGGCACAAGCCCCAATTAGAGCAAATGAAAGGCACTTCTGAGACTTCTGTTGAACTGACGGGTGAGAGTGAGGTGGGGACAGAAAGGTGCTCTCCTTCCCCTTGGGGCTCCAGTGGCTGGGTGGGGGGATAAAAGTCTGGAGCCCCTGAGGCTCCCTTGCCACTCCCAAGGAATGAACCTCCAGGGAAAACGAGAACGTGGAGTGGAGGGAGGTGAACAGCTGACTACGCGGTTTGAACCTCTGGGGCGAGCAGGCCGAAAGACCTACTCCTGGACTCTGCTGTCTAAGGGGATAAATGCTCCTCTGGTGCAGAGGTGCTGAGCTGGGTTTTCTGATCCCTGCAGCATGCAGAGTCACGCCTGCCAGGAGCTGACTCTCCAGCCCCTCTCCACTGCTCACAAACGACAAGGGCCCCGACTGTCTACCCCACCGCCGCCCACAGGGCCCCTCGGCTACCCGTGCCAGCTCTGGGGGGCCCACCCCCTTGCTCAGTCGCCTGCTTTGGCTGACTCCGTGCCGAGCCCTCCCCGCTGTGGCCTGGTGGGCACCTGGGTGCAGGCGTGGCAGTCTCGATGCTCCTCACAGAGTGGACAGAGGGCAGGCACCAGCACCAGCAGGGAGCCGCCGGCCCCGCGGTCCCCACAGTGGGCCCCACTCTGGCGCAGGTGGCAGGTCGCGCTGGCCAGGCACCAGCCGCAGCCCTGGTCTGCCAAGCAGCCCAGGCAGGAGGGGTAGGAGGCGCAGGCCGACGAGCGGTAGGGCTCCAGGAAGAAGAAGGAGATCTCCTGGGGGCGGGGGTCACGTGAGGGTCAGGGCTCCACGCTCCACGTCAAGGTTTGGGATAGGGATTAGAGTTTGGAGCTAAAGACTTAAGCGTCTGGAGACAAGGTTGAGAACTCAGGCCCGTAGAAAGTCAGGATTTAGGACATCAGCAGACAAAAGGGGATCAGGGTTTGAGAAAATCCAGAGATGAGAGGTCAAAGTATGGAGGGCAGAGGTCAGGGTCAGCAAGATCAGGGCAGGAGGAGTCAGAGACGCGGGCAGGGGTCAGAACACGAGATCAGGTCAGACTCTGGGGGTCAGATGTTGGGGTCCAGGGGGGGTTCAAGGTGAGGCCCAGAGTTCAAGAGTCAAGGAGTAAGAGGTCAGGGTCAAGAGAGTTAGTTTGTGGCCCAGGGCATCTGAGGCCAGGGGCTGGGGCAGGGTCAGAGCTGGGGACCTGGGTACTCACGCTGCCACCTGGCACGCCAGTCCGGTCCCACAGCAGGGTGAGCTCGCTGTGTCCAGGGCCCGCTGAGCCGTTGAGCTGGCCCCGGATCTCTACCGCGTACTTGTGGCCCCGGCCAGGCAGTGGGAAGAGGCGAGCGGACCCTGGACGCTGCAGGCGCCTCGTCTCCTTCTCCTGCTGAGCCACCCAGCGCCCTACCTCCTCCTGAAGTAGGGGTGAGGGGCAGACAGGGGCCTCAGAACTTTTCACCCGCACTGACCCCGGAAACCCCCAAGAGCCCCAAACCCACCTAGCGCCCACCCCTCCTCTTCCCAGGAGGGCCTCAGAGTTTCTTAGACCCCCAAAACCTCCAAGCACCCCTAAACCTCCCAGCAACCCACGTCCTCCTCAGGGGAGTCTGACTTGGTAACTCAGACCTTCCCCTTTCTTCAAAATCCACCCCCCACCCAGTTCTGTTCACAACTGAAAACCCCAGGGCCCTCCCGTCACTAAGGATAGATCCCACGCCTCTGATTTCTCCCCATTCCTCCTCCCCACCACACATCCAAGCCCCCATATTTACCATAAACAGCCCCCTGCATGTCCCAGGCACCCTCACCATGCTTTCTGTGTCAGGGCCACGGGCCATCCGGGCCAGTACGTGCAGGCGCTGGGCCCGGGCCCACACGGCCACGTCCTCAGCCCCTGGCCCTCCAGGCCCTCCTGGCAGCAGTGGGTGGATGAAGCCACGGTAGACCACGGACACGTCGGTCTCTGAGCTAGGTGTCAGGGTGATGGTCGTACTGCGGACAATCAAGACCTGTGCCAGCCAAGGAGGGAGGCGTGCATGAGGACCTCTCTGCATCGCCCCATGGTCCTCACACCTCTCCAGCCACATCAGAGCTAGAAAAGACCAGGCAACCCAATCTCCTTCCCTAGTTTACTAAATGGGAGACTGAGGCCAGAAGCAGGGGGGATTGCTCGCCCACGGTTACTCTGGGAGAAGAGTTGGGACTCCGACTCAGACAGCAGACAACAGGGTCCCAGCCCCTGCTCATCTCCACCTCTCATTAAACTCCAAGACCCTGGACCTTTCAGCATCTTCTTCCTCAACACCCCATCTTTCCACCTAAGCCCTTAAGGTCCAGATCCCTTAACTAGGGGGCTTGGAGACCTTCCAGGTTAGTAAACACATTCATGTGCCAGGAGGGTGTCACACCCCAACTCCACAGGGACAGAAGCTCAGGCCCCTTCTGGACCTCATCCTATGTACCATGTTCTTTGTTATATAATGAACCAGTATATATGTTTAAAAAAAAAAAAGAGCCCAGATCCAAATCCAACGTTTGAAGCGACGCACATACTTCGTGATTTACTGCTAGCATGTGTTCTTGTAATTGTAAAAGAGTGGAGCAACCCAAGGGTTCATCATGGGAGACTGTTTAAATAAACTGTAACACTACGGCATCAGAATGTAAATGGAACACTATGAAGCTGTTAAAAAAAAAAAAAAAAAAGAGGGTGTTTCCTAAGTTCTGTTATGGGAAGCTTGCCGGGATACGTTAAGAAAAAAAAGGAGAATGAGAAAACAACACCACCACCAAAAAGACAAAAAAAAAAAGAAAAAAGAAAAAAAGGGAAGTGGTAGTACAGTGTAGATAATATATTACTTTTGGTGCAAGAAAGAAAAATAATTAAATGTCACATTTACTTGTATTTGAATAGGTAAACAGCGGAAGGATATGTAAGAAATCTAAATAGACCTTCTGGGGAGAGTTAGGGTGGTCTTGAGTTAGGGGGATGCTGAGGCCAGCTTCCCACACTGAGGGGTGAGGACTGGGTAGATGGAAGAGACTTTTCACTCAACAACTTTTTACACTGTTGTGCGGTTTTTTTTGTGTTGTTGTTTTTGTTTTTAACTATATAGGATTCATTTATCCTATTTTATTTTATTTTTTTTAGCCACACTGCACGGCATGTGGGATCTTAGCTCCCCGACCAGGGGTCGAACCCTTGTCCCCTGAATTGGAAGCTCAGAGTCTTAACCACTGGATGCCAGGGAAGTCCCCATTGTTATGGTTTTTGAACCATGTGACTATAATACCTATTTTTTAAATTAATAAGGAACCACTGTGGAAAAACACTTTGATGATTCCTCAATAAGTTAACCATAGGATTACCCCAGCAATCCCACTCATACTGAAAATAGGTTTTCATTGCAATATTTGCGAATATCAATTCATTATGTTGTACACTTAAAACTAATATAAGGTTGTTTGTCAATTATACCTCAATTAAAAAAAAAAAAAAAAAAAGAGGGACTTCCCTGGTGGTCCAGTGGTTACGAATCCGTCTTGCAATGCAGGGGACACCAGTTCAATCCCTGGCTGGGGAACTAAGATCCCACATGCCTCAGGGCAACTAATCCCATGCGCCACAACTAGAGAGCCCTCATGCCACGTGCCGTGGGCTATAGAGCCCATGTGCTATGAAGCCTGTACACCACAACTAGAGAGAAGCCCGCACACCGCAACGAAGAGCCCCCGCGCCACTACGAAAGATTCCACGTGCCACAACTAAGACCCGACAGAGCCAATAAATAAATAAATAAATAAGTAAATAAATAAAATATTTTTTTAAAAAGGAAAAACTTGCCAACAGGTGTAAACAACCCAAATGTTATCAGCTGATGAATGGACATGGCATGGCCATACAATGGAATGTCATTCAGCCATAAAAAGGAACAAAGTTCTCGGACTTCCCTGGTGGTCCAGTAGCTAAGGCTCTGTGCTCCCAATGGAGGGAGCCCGGGTTCGACTCCTGGTCAGGGAACTAGATCCCACAGGTCGCAACTAAGAGTTTGCATGCTGCAACTAAAGATCCCTCATGCTGCAACTAAAGATCCCATGTGCCACAACTAAGACCTGACACAGCTAAATAAATAAATAAATAAAATTTTTTAAAAAAATGAACAAAGTTCTGACACATGCCACAACACAGATGAGCCTTGAAAATATTATGCTGAGTGAATGGAGTCACACACAAAAGGCCACGTATTATATGATTCCATTTATATGACCTATCCAGTGTTAACAAATCCAGATACAGAAAAAGAAAAAGGTTAGTGGTTGCCAGGGGCCAAGGGGAGAGGGGAATGGAGAGTGATTACTTAATGGATATGGGGGTCTCCTTTTGGGGTTATAAAAATGTTCTGGGGGGGCACATCCCCTGTGGTCTGGTGAGTAAGACTCCATGGTCCCAGTGCAGGGGGCCCGGGTTCAATCCCTGGTCGGGGAACTAGATCCCACATGAATGCTGCAACTAAGAGTTCACATTCCGCAACTAAAAACAAAAAAACAGGGCTTCCCCGGTGGTGCAGTGGTTAAGAATCCGCCTGCCAATGCAGGGGACATGGGTTCAAGCCCTGGTTCGGGAAGGTCCCACATGCCACAGAGCAAATAAGCCCGTGCGCCACAACTACTGAGCCTGTGCTCTAGAGCCCGTGAGCCACAACTACTGAGCCTGCATGCCACAACTACTGAAGCCTGCGCGCCTAGAGCCCGTGCTCCGCAACAACAGAAGCCGCCGCAGTGAGAAGCCTGAGCACCACAACAAAGAGTAGCCCTGCTCGCCGCAACTAGAGAAAGCCCACGTGCAGCAACAAAGACCCAACGCAGCCAAAAAACTTTTTAAAAATAAAAATAAAATAAATAAATGTAAAACAAACACAAAAAACATGCCTCAACGAAGATCCTGTGGGTCGCAATTAAGACCCGAAGCAGCTTAAGAAAAAAAAAAAAAAGTTCTGGGGACTTCCCTGGTGGCCCAGTGGTTAGGGCTCCGCGCTTCCACCACAGGGGCGCGGGTTTCATCCCTGGTTGGGGAACTAGGATCCTGAATGCTGCACGGTGCAGCCAAAAAAAAAAAAAATGTTCTTGAACTAGAGAGTGGTGATAGTTGCATAGTACTGTGAAGGTGATAAGTGTCACTAATGGTAAGTTTTATGTTATGGGCATTTCACCACAGTTAAAACTTTTCTTAGGCCAATAAGGAAAATCAGACCCTTGCATGTAAAGACTTAAGGGGTAAACGCAAGAGTGATAAAGATCCATTTGAAAAATGAAAACTCTAAGACCAAGCCCTTCAGCACTCCACACTGGTCCCCATCCCCTGGCTCCCCACCTTGTCAGGCTGGGAGGCATTGGGCGGCTGTTGGAAGGTGAGCAGGTGCAGGCCAGGCAGGAAGCTCTGGGTGACACAGGCCTCCAGGGAGGTAACGAAGACAGGTACGGGCCCCCACCAGCCCACGGTGCCTGAGATCTGCTCCCCACGGCAGCGGGCCTGCTCTGTGAGGACAGGAGGGTCGGGAGATGGGGGTTGGTGTGGGGTGCTATGCTGCCCCCTCCCAAAATGCCACTGGACACTCACCAGGCCGAGGGAGGCAGCTCTCGTTGTGTACGCACCAGCCCAGGGCGCCGGGCCCCCGGGGAGGAGCGGCGGTGCTGCTGAACGCCAGACAGGCCTGGCAGTCACCCAGGAGGCGGCCCAGGCCCAGGCAGCTGGCAGCCGGACACTGCAGAGAGGGGAAAGACAGGTGTCACTATCCACTGGGGCTTAAGGGACCTGGGAAAAGCTGTGGATTCAGGAGGCTTGGGGTGGAAAGGTCAGGGGACTGGAGAAGGGAATTGAAAGCTGGGTTGGAATGAGAAAGATCAAGAGGACAGGGGTGGAGGATCCAGGGACAGAAACATAAGTTCAAAAGGACCGGGAAGAGGGTCAAAGGTTCAAGGGTCAGTAGTCAGGAATGCCGATCTTAGGTGTGAAAACGAGTCTCCCAAGCGCAGGTCTGGGCAGAAGAAGACACGGAGGACCAGGTCTCCGTGCTAAGGGGCAGAGTACTAGGACAGTCACTCACGGCCCCCGAGGGAGTCCCAGGAGGTGGGGCAGCTTGGCAGGCTCCCTGACACCAACTGCATTCAGGGTCTCGGGAACATACGCTGTGGTCCGTGTACATGGAGCAATAGTCCAGGTGGTACTGTAGAGAGATGGGCAGGGAGGAGGGGGCGCCTCACACCTGGGGCCTGCTCCCACGTCCTCGCTCACTTTGATGAGCCCAGGGAACCCCAACTGCTCAGAACCTTGAGGACCCCTGTCCACTTCTCCCCCAGCCCCAGGGACCACTGCCCCTCTGCCCTCAGCTCCAGGGACCACCATTCCTCCTCCCTTGGACCTGGGGACTGACCTCCCTCCTCTCACGGCCCTAGGGACCTCCCCTCCTTCTCCCAGGGACGCCCCCCAACTTCCTCCCTTAACCATGGGAAACATGCTACCTCCTCCCCAGCCACCCTCTCCCTATCACCCCAGTGCTCACGTCTGGAGCAGGCGCCTGGAACACAAAGGGAGGCACCTTGTAGGCCATCAAGTCCCCACGGGGCCGGCCACTGTACCCCCCTGCCACCAACAGGACGCTGCCACCAAGCACAGCCGCCACATGTGAGTACCGACCACTGGGAGGTGCTGCTCGGCCTAGGAGAATACAGACGTCCCGAGGACATGTGACCCCCCATCCCCCCTTCGTGGCTCCCACCTTGAGGACCACCCCTGACTCTCCTACGCCTCAACCCCACTTGCCCAAGGAAACCCTCCCCGCCTGCCTGGCCCTGCTCTAGTCCTAGCTCTCTCACTTCCTGGAGCTCCCACACTGCTGCCCAAGTCACCTTCCAGACAGAGCATGACCTTTGGGGTCAAATCCTGGATCTACCATTTCCTTGCTTTCAAATAACGGATCAACTACTGACTAGCTGTGTGGCCTTGGGCAGGAGACCTGACTTCTCTGAATCTTGGTTTCCTCCTCCGTGCATGGAACCTTGCCCTCGGGGAGCGGTGAGGCAGGCCGCCCGGCTGTCACCTGTTGTTGTCTGTCTGACACCAGCCTCCCTGCTGGTGACAGCCTCTGACTGTCCTCTGGAAAACCACCCCTCCCACCCCCAGTCCACAAGGCTCAAGTCGAGCTGTCCCTGCCTCTAGCAGCAGCAGGGCTTGAGCCCAGGCCTATCAGAGTCAGTGGCTAGTTCAGGGAGGGGACCCAATTGCTACAATTCTTGGGAAAAAGGTACTGTCTTCCCTCTGGGCATTTTAAAGGGGTAGGATATAATCCCAGAGCTGCTGGTGACCATCTACAAAAGGCAAACCTGCTACAGACTGAAGGAAATCCAGCTGAGAACTGGGGAGAGAAATGGCTCATGCCATTATGTGAGCACCTGGATCCAGGCCAGCCTGCAGCCAGTTTTCACTCAAGTGAGTCAAGAAATTCTTCCTTTTGCTTAAGCTGGTCGGGTGGGGTTTCTGTCACTTACAACCAAGAGTCCTGACTGACGGGTAAGCGGTCAGTGATTGGTGACTCCCTCACACTTTTACTGACCCGTATGCTCTGGAAGTGTATGGGACTTGGCCCAGGGCATCAAAATCTACAAAGAAGGAGGAGGCCTCCAGAAACCTCACACTCTGGCCTACCCAGTGAAGGGGTCTGAAGGAGGGACAGGAGCAGCAGTGGAGCCCTGGATTGGAGGCCTCCAATGCTAGGCTGAGGCTTTATTCCTTTTTTTTTTTTTAATATTTATTTATTTATTTATTTGGTTGTGCTGGGTCTCAGCTGCAGCAGGCTCCTTAGTTGCGGCTCACCGGTTCCTTAGTTGCAGCTCGCCGGCTCCTTAGCTGTGGCACGCAAACTCCTAGTTGCAGCATGCATGTGGGACCTAGTTCTCTGACCAGGGATCGAACCCGGGCCCCCTGCATTGGGAGCGTGGAGTCTTAACCACTGGGCCACCAGGGAAGCCCCATTCCTGATGGTCAAACAGGATTCCTTGGGGACCCTTCCTCTTGCCCACCCCTTAAATGTTACTGTCCCTTCTTTTATGTTTGTCCTTTGTCCTCACTCTTCTGTTCAGAAGGGTGGGGAGAACAGACGGGCCTCTGGGAAGTTCCACAGTCCCATGAAAGGATATGCCCAGTTTGTGCACACAAGTGTCTTTCTGAGGAGAGGGCCTGTGACTTTCTTCCCATTCACAAAGCAGTCTCTGATCTAATGAGCTTGAAAGGCTTCTCCACACTCCCTCCAGGTGAGCCCTCTGGCCTTGCGCTATTGGGACAATGTGTTGGGCCCTTCACTGGACTGTCTTCTTTCTTCACTTCATTTTACTCAATTTATTCTCACAACAGCCCAGTGGTTTAAGCGTTATTACATTTTACAGAGGGGAAGTTGAGGTGCAGAGAGATTAAATGATGGTTTTTGTACAAAAGGTTGTTTAGGAATGGCCATCCTGGTTCTGCCACTTGCCCACTGTGTGACCTTGAAAAAGTTGCTTCTTTGTAGGCAGTCCCCTGGGACAGCTGATAATTGGCAAAACCTGGACTGGAACCTAGATCTGATGCTTCTGAAAATGTCTCCCATCTCCATAGCAACAATGCCCTGGTCCTATCTCTAGTGCAGGTGTGCCTCCTGAGGCCGGCTCCGATAGGATATTGGGCTCACCCCAACAAGGACCGGGGTGGCTCCTTCCCAAAGCCCAGGATCACTGTGGGAGCAAGCGTGACGCTCAGGAGCCCCTCATGGAAACAGAGGGGCCACTCACCCTCAGGAGTTCCTGGAGGGGCAAGCTCGGCCCCCGACACCCACTGATGGCAGCCAAGGTGGTAGAAGAAGATGCCATCTTCATAGCACTTTTCCTCCTGGTAATGGGTGTGCACGTTGCCCCCTGGGAAAGGAGCAAAGGGGCACAGCTGGCAAGCCTGGGGGAGGTGAGGACACCCCTGCAGGGAGCCTCAGCTCAGCCTTGGGCCCCTGGCAGGCAGGCAGGTAGGTGGGATTGGGGCGCCTCCTCACCGTAGACCACCATGTAGTTGCCCAGGACACTGGCCGTGTGAAAGGCCCGCTCCCGTGGGCCCTGAAGCCCATCCCGGCCCTTCAGGCTGGTCCACACGCGCCGATCCACGTGGAAGAGCTCGGTGGAGTTCACCCGCACAGAGAACCTGTAGGGGAGGGGAAGAGGAGGAGCTTGAGGCAGGAAGGGCCTCTCTCCCTCCTCTGGGCCCACAGTTGAGACTGGCTTTACTGGATTTATATCCCCTCAGAACTAGAAGCTCCTTGTGGGCAGGACCCAGGTTTGATTGATCTCTGGGTTCCCTGCATAATCTAGCCAGGGCTAGACACCAAGCAGGGGTTGGTTAAATGACTGCATGAGTGGGAGTGCGTAGGGAAGCAAGTGACCAAGAGATTGAATGACAGACTAGAGAATGCGTGAGTCGGGGAGTAAATGAGTGAATAAACAAATGAGTGAATGAATGACAGACGGGGTGACTGAATGACTGCAGGGGTCTATCAGTGGGCAAAGACCGTTAAAGCATAAAGGCCCAGGGTGTTAGGCCAGGCCTGGCCCTGCAAGGCATGGGGTGTGGGGCAGGTGACTCACCGGGCAGTGGAGGGCCGGTGTCCACCGTGAACCAGCAGGGCACGCGACGGGGCATGGAACACCATGGAATGGCCAGTGGCGGCAGGGGGCCGCCCACCTGCCGGAATCACCTGCTCCCAATAGCCCCCACTGGTGCTGTCGAGGCGGAAACGGAAGAGGCCAGAGGAGAAGAGGTCGTGCTGGGTGCGGCCACCAGACACATAGAGCCAGATGCTGTCCACTAGGGCTGCTGCGTGACCTGCCAGGCCTGGCGGCCCTGAGGAACTGGAAGCAGCTGGTGCCAGAAGCTCCCAGTGGCCACCACCCAGCGGGCTAAAGGCCCAAACGTCACTGGTGAGGGAGCCGTCAGCCAACTCACCACCCATCAGCACGAGGGAGCCGGCCCAAGCCACAGCCACGTGGGAGTGACGGGCAGCCTGTGAGGAAGAGACCAGGAGACGGAGATGGAGAGGGAAACAGATGGTGACACAGAGAAAGAGAAAGACAGAGAGAGATGCAGAGACAGGGCAAGATGGAGAGACAGAGATACAGAGAAAGAGAAAGTGAGAGAGGGACAGAGATAAAGACAGAGACATGCAAAGAGAGAAAAGAAGAGAGACGGACCCAGAAAGACAGACACATGCAAATAAAAAGAGAGGTGTGACAGAGAAACACAATAAGAGAAGGCGGAGTCAGGGAGAAATGACAGAGACCAGTAGAGAGTAAGAGGTATAACCCAGAGAGAAGGAGACACAGAGACCGAGAGAGACCAGACGACCAAGAGTCAGAAACAAAAACCGAAAGATGGACCAAGAGAGACAGGAGACACACAGAAAGGTAAGATGCAGAAAGGCAGATAAACGAAGAAGAAAGAAAATCAAAGACAGAACAGCAGAAGCGGGAGGTGTAGGTGGTCATGTATCACACTGCAGGAGTTAGGGGTGTGCAGGATGATGGGGTCGCTCTGGGGTGCCCTGGCTGGGTCTGACAGAGTGGACAGGCACCTCCAGGCAGGGCAGAGGTGGGGTCCATACCGGGGCAGGACTCAGGTCCCAGCGCTCCCAGGTGTTGGCAGAGAAGTTGTACAGGACGAGGTCACCCAGGGCCCTGTTGAGGTCCTGGCCTGTGGAGAGGTGGACAGTCTCAGGCCCTGGCCACAGGCTGCCAGGCCTCTAGACCCCAGACTCATATCCCATCTGCTTACCTCCGAAAACAGCCAGCAGCCCCGGTGGGGACAGGAAGGCACCAGCCGCCCCGATACGGGCGGAGAAGGCGGGGTCCCCGGCACTCACGTTGTGCCACCAGCCAGCCCCCTGGTTCTCCCAAAGGTGCAGGTCACAGGCGCGTCCCAGGAAACCAGGCTCACAGAGGCATGGTCCCAGGGGCTGGGGGGAAGGGGGCACAAAGGCAGGGACAAAGAGAGAGAAAGAAACAGACAGGGAGGAGAGAGAGAGCCAGAGTGAGATAGATGGAGCAAAACGGAGGAGAGATGAACAGGAAAGGAGAGGATGGAAAAATAAAGACAGAGAGGCAAAGAAAGAGACAGGAAGGAGACAGGCCAACAGACAGAGGAAGAGATGGACACAGAGACACAATCAGAGGGAGGCAGAGAAGAGGAGAAACGAAGACAGACCAACAGAAAAAGGGAAAGGAAAAAGAAAAAGACCCAGAAAGGAAAATGAGGACAAGACAGAAAGACAGGTTGGAGAAAGAAAACTGATGAAGTCAATGTCGGCCTGGGCTGGAAGAGCTCAGATCCGGGGAGGTCAAGGCAGGGAGGGCTCAAGGCGTGACCCAGGCCCAAAGCTGGATATGCATGGTTTAGGCCCAAGGTCAGTGGTCAAAAGTCAGAAGTCATGGCTGGGGGCCCAAGACCAGACAGAGCGGCTGGGTGTGAGGGTGGAGTCAGGCCTGGCACGAGGAAGGCATGCAGGTTCACAGGTGAGAAGTGGGCTACAGGTGAGGTTGGGAGTGAGCTCAGGCAGAGGAGGGGCCCCCAGTGAAGGTGGAGTGGAAGTGGAGTAACAGGTTGGGGGAGTGGGATCTGGAAGGAGAGAGAGAACTGTAGGAGGGAGCAGGGTCCCTGGCGGGGTCAGCATCATGGGAGAGGATGGGACGGCAGGGGTTGTTTCAGGCAGGGGCAGAGTCAGGTCTAGGACATGGGAGTGGTGGCTGTGACCACAGGGCAGGGCCCCAGGGGAACACAGCTGGGGGCAGGCTCACCGAGGCACAGGTGCCGTGGCTGCCACAGTAGGCTGGGCACTCCTGCAGGCCGCAGTCAGGGCCCCCCCAGCCCGGATCACAGACACACACCCCTGGGGGCTGGCACTGCCCATGGCTGTAGCAGCCCCCCGGGCACAGGGAGAAGCGGAATGAGGCATTGAAGCCCAGCAGGTTGTAGTTGGCATCGCTGAAGAGGTGCAGCAGCATCTGCAGGCACAAGGTGGGTGGGGCTCTGGGGCTGGACTGGGAGAGGGTCCACTCCTGCCCCCACCCCACCCTGGGGTCCCCATCTCCTTTCTTTGTCTCTCTCCACCTCTCTTTGTCCCTCTATCCTTCTGACTGATGTCAAGTCCCCCCGCCCTTTGTTTCCCTCTGTGTATCTACCCCCCGTCCTGCACACTCCACTCAGATCCTCCAGCCACAGCCCCGCAGCCAGGCCCCACCAACCTTGCCTGAGGAAGCCTCAATGGGCGGAGGCCGGGTGCTCCCACTCAGACTGGCAAGCAGGGGCCCGCGGGGGGAGTCACCATCATACACGAACAGGTAGTCATACGTGCATTCCGTGTCCAGGAAAAGGAAGTCCAGCAGGATCCGGTACTGGGAGCTCGGGGCTGAGCAGTGAGAACAGGGGGGCCAGGCTCAGATGCGGACCCTCTCCCCATGCCTCCACGCAGCCCCCCCACAAACACCAAGCCCTGCTCCTCGTAACGCTGGGATGGGGGCCCAAAGATGAGTCAAACCTGGGCCTTGCCTTCAAGGGGCTCCCAGGCTCCCAGCCCAGGGAGGTCAGAGCTGCGACAGCAAGAGGGACAGAAGCTCAAAGAAGAAATTACAGTATCATCCCTGGAAAGGACCCCTGAGATCAGGCTGAACACCGCCTACTATTCAGATGGGGAAACTGAAGTGCAGAGAGAGGAACCCCATCCCAGTGGTCACACAGAACTTCCCATTTATTCTTGAACCTCAGACATGCCCAAGCCTGAGGGTCAGTCCAGGCGTGAGCAGAGAGGCATACTCCCACATGGAAAAGGGCCTCTGTGAGGGGCCTCTGTTCCAGGCTCAACAGAGCTCTAGGGGAAGAGGTCCCTTTCTTCCCCCTGGCCAAAGACTGAAACTTGGAGCACCACAGCTCCTCTCTGCCCCCACCCAGGGTCTCTTCTCTCTGTTTATTGTATTGAATAGTAGCTAAGGCCACAGACTCTGGAGCCAGACTGCCTGGGCTCCAATCTTGGCTCTGCCACTTACTAGCCACTAGCTGTGTGACCTTGGGCAAGTCAGCTAGCCTCTCTGGATCTGTTTCTTCATCCGTAAAATAGGGATGTAATCACTATGGTCGATTCATACTTCTTGGCCACTAATCCCATCAGGAGATGATGGCTGACTCCCAGCCCCTTGTATCTGGAAGAGCCTCAGAGACTAGCTTGGCCAATACAAACTAGAAGTGATGCTCTGGGACTTCCGAGGCTAGATCAGAGGAAGCCTGCAATTTTTACCTGGGCCTCGTAGAATACTCCTTCTCAGAACCCAGCTGTCATGCTATGAAAAGTCACATGGAGGGGCCATGCGTAGGCGTCCCAGCTGTCATCCCCAGCTGAGCTTCCAGCTGACAGCCGGCATCAACCGGCTCCCTGTGAGGGAGCCTTCTTGGACGCCCGGCCCAGGTGAGTGTTCAGATGACTGCAGTCCCCACTGGTCTGACTGCGACCGCATGGGAGGCCATAATGGATAATGCACCTAAAGTGCTTACGGTAGGGCCTAGCACCTCATAACGCTACTACTCCTAGCACTGTCGCTCTTCCTGCTCTCTGCCAGGTCCTGGTTGCAGAAGGTTCTCTCATCCCACATCTCCCACTAGGGGCTCAGGGAAGGCTTGTGGGCTAGGGAGACTAGGAGACCTGGGTTCCAGCTCTGCTCCTGACCCTAGGCCAGCCCCTTTACCCATGCTCCTCAGTACACCCATCTGCATACCGGAGATGCTCATCCACTATTCACGAGCTGTGGGATCTTGCGCCAGTTCCATGGGCTCTCTGGGCCTCAGTTTCCTTGATGTAAAATGGGGATAATTCTCCTCAGCCGTCAAGGCTGGTGTGAATATCCCAGATGGTGACTCTAACATGCCAGCCCAGGCCTTGTCCTCCCTCACCAGGACCACTGATCCAGCCTCCTTCGTGGCCTGTGCTGACATGGGTCCCTGAGGGATCTCCCCAGCTCGACATCTGGCCCTTACCCTCCCCTGCTCAAAAGCCCTCCATGGCTCCCTACCATCTCCAGGAGAAAGTCCAGCTCCCTAACCTGGTGTTTGGAGTCTCAACTTGTCTCACATCACCCCACGGCTTACAGCTCTATCAGGAGCTGGGCCTGTGCAGAAGTTCCTCTCTCTGTCTAGAGCACATTCTCCCTTCCTGCCAGCAAACGTCCCCACCTTCTCCAAGAAGCCTTCCCTGATGCCCCCGGGCTGGGTTAGGTGCCCCTCTAGGTTCTCACTTTCCAATACGACCTTCATTCCTCTGGGCCAGGACCACCTGTGTCCAGGTGTGTCTCCCCTGCAGCCTAGGAGGCCCACAGGACAGGGCCTGGGCCTACTCATCTTGGGGATCCCTCCCCGACATTGCCCAGCACGGGGCCTGGTATTGAGCAAGGGCTCAGGAAATACTGGATGAAGGAAGGAAGAGATGCACAAGACAGAATACTGAAGTTGGCAGCTCTCCCTCAGGCTCTGGCCAGAGCCCCCAAGAACATCACACATAGACCCCGAGCTGTGGTCTGGAGAACGCAGAACAATTCAGCCAGGCCAGGCAACCAGACCTCCCCGACTCTTACCAGCCTCAACCAAACTATAAAGCTCTGTTCCTAGAATCACAACAAGCACATCTTTGCCAAGTGCCCACCAGGGGCCGGCTCACCATCTGCCTTCCCCAAGTTCCACCTTAAGTTCAAGTCCTCCTGTTTCTGCCCAACATGGGCCTAACCCCCAAGCCATCCTGGACAGAGATCTGATCCTAAATGCCCCTGCTTTTCAAAGACAGCTGGCTCTTATTCACAAGGATGTTATGAGGACTGGGCACAATGAAGTGCAAACACGGTACAGAAGTAAGTGGGTCAGTTGCTTATTTTTTAATAGATGGGGGAGCATGTTGGTTCTTAGAGGTGATGGACATTGGGAAGGATGGGAGCTCAAGGGGCGTCCAGTAGTCTCCTGGACTCCTTCTTTCCCCAACATCCAACCAATCGGTCCCCCAAGTCTCACTGGTGAAACTTCACAAATCTCTCAGTGTTCTCCGTGCCTCTCTACCCGCTTAGCTGCTGCCCCAGTTCAGAACTCATCCTCTCCCACAAGACTAGCACACCAAGTCTCCAGTCTACCCCCCACCCAGCCTGAGAGCAACGCCCCACTCCTGCTCAAAATCCCCCTTTGGCTCCCCATCAATCCCAAGAGAAAAGTCAAGATGCTCGGCACGACATTCAAGGCCCTTCTTCCCCTCCTTCTGATGCCCTCCGCTCCTCCCAGCCAACAAGTTTAGCCAGACCAGACAAGCCTAGACATGGCTCGGAGACCCACCAGCCCCTCTTTTGTCTTCCTAGAGGCTGTTCCCTTTTCTCACCCGGTAAACTCCTATGCATGTTTCAGAACACTGCTCTGGTGGCTCCTCCTCTGTGACCCCCAGCAGAGTCTTCTCACTCCCCTAGGCCCGACTACCCAACGCTGCACCTCCTTCCGTCTCAGCCCTGAGCATACCGGGGGCAGAATGTCTGTGTCTATCCCCAACCAGGCTGGAGCTCTTAAAGGCCAGAGAATGATTTATACCTTTAACACATACACACACTTCCCATCCTCTTCTCACTCCCTAGACAGGAATGGCCCCCAAGATGGGGACAAACACACTCATCCCCAAAAAACATGCTTCATCCATACCCCACACAACAGCCATAGAGATCTTCTAAAACGTAAATTAAATCATGTCTTTCCCCTGCTCAAAACCTTCCATAGATGCCCAGTGTCCCCAGACAAAGACCAATCTCCAAAGGCTGCAAAAGGAGGCCCTGCACGATTCAGACCCTGTCACACCTCTGGTCTTTGCCCAGGACCTCCTCTGGGGGACTCCCACCTCTCCCTGGAGGCCAGCTCCTCATCCACTGCCATGGGAGTCTTCCTGGACTTCTCCAGCCACTGCCTTGGATTTCTCTTCCACCTCCCTATTGCCCTCAGGACACAGCTCAAAAACCACAAGGTCAGGGCTTCCCTGGTGACTCAGTGGTTGAGAGTCCGCCTGCCGATGCAGGAGACACGGGTTCGTGCCCCGGTCCGGGAATATCCCACATGCCACGGAGCGGCTGGGCCCGTGAGCCATGGCCGCTGAGCCTGCGCGTCCGGAGCCTGTGCTCTGCAACGGGAGAGGCCACAACAGTGAGAGGCCCACGTACCAAGAAAAGAGAAAAAAAAAAAATCACAAGGTCCTATACCACCTGCTTCCTCCCAACCCTCCAGCCTCTGGCTCATTGTTTGTCTTCTTGGATTCTGTGTCCTAGCATACGGATTTCTAGTTCCTCAAAAGCATCATATCCTCCTGTTTCCAGGCCTTTGCACAGGCTATTCTCCTTACCTGGAATGCCCTTTTGCTCTCTCCTGCACATGCCTCTGGTCTCAGGTATAGCCCAGGCTAAGTCAGATGTCATCTCTGGGATTCCCACTCCCTGGGGGTGGGTTTGTTTCCCCCACTAGACTGGGATCCCAGGAGGGTAGAGATGGGGCCTTTGCACAGGCTGTTCCCGCTTCCTGGAATGACTTTCTCCTCCTCCTGGCTGATTCCTATTGGTCCTTTAGGTCTCAGCTCAGACATCTCCTCCAGGAAGCCTTCTCTGCTCTCTCCCACCCAACAGGTCAGGCACCTCCTCTGGGCTCCCCAGGCCCGTGGGGTTCCTCTATCACAGCCCCTACCACTCTGGACTGGACTGTCTGTTAACATGTTTGCCTCCCCCACTGGATTCCAAGCCCCAAGTCATCGGGGATTGCTGGGGCTGTGGAGGTCTCTGCTATGTCCCAGAGGCAAAGACAACGTCTGGCACATGAATGACTGAAAAAAATGCTTTTGTTGAAGTACTTTAAAAAGGACAACACTAATAACCCTAAGCCCATTTACTGGGCATTTATTATGTGCCAGGCACAGTAAATACCTGTTCTCACTTAAGTCCAACAGCCCTATGAGGGGAGTGCTATCACTATCACAGCCTGAGGGGAGGGAAAGCCGAACCTCAGAGGAAGGAAGCCACCTGCCCAAATTCACAAAGCTGGTAAGAAGTGGAACCCAAATGTGAAGCCAGGTGGTTGGGCTCAGAGCCTGAGTTTCTAACAGTTACTCAGAACACCCCTCACTGATGCTTCTGGCTTGTAATTGTCCATCTGCGTCCGGGTGCAACTCCCCCATCAGACTTCAAGGCCTTCCAAGGCAAGGCCTAGGCTGGCTGCATTTTAGAGCAAAGGGCCTGCACCAGAACCGGTTCTGGGAACATGGTGAGCGGATGCAAGACTGCACAAATGAATGAATTAGCGCACCAGCCAGTGTGTGACCCACACGGCCCCACTCACCCTCGATGAGCCACTCGCAATTGCCATTGACGCTGTAGTTGCCCGCACCATCTGTCACGAAGCCTGGCGCCTCCCGCAGCACTTGCCGCTGTCCCTTGCAGTCCCCTGCCCGGGCCCCAGGGGACAGTGGCCACAGCACGGAAAAAGATAGAGCCAGCGCCGCAGCCAGAGCCCGGCCCAGGGCCATCGCTGCCTCCAGCACTGACCCTTACAGAGGGACGGGTCCTAAAGACCCGGAGAAGCCCCTCCACCCGGTTTGAAGTCCTGCAAATGCGACCTCTATAGATGGGACATGGCCTTGTAGAGCAGGGAGGTCCAGGAGTCGCTGTCCCCGCGAAGGGAACCGCCGCTGTTGGTGGGCTCTGGAAACCGAGGGGTGGGCCCTTATAGACCCATGGAAAAACCTGTAAATGGGGTCGTTACGTACGGGGCAGACCCCTAGGGGCCACGGGAGTCCCTTATAGACATGGGCCCCCATACGCTGGCTGACCCCATAAACGGGCCGCTGCAGGCCGAAATGGACCTTACAGACCACTGGGTCCCCAGTGGGCGAAGGGCTCTACAGCTCGGCGGGGGCCTACATAGAGTGCGGGCCTGGCCTGGCCCGGAAGGTCCTCCAGGAGAGACGCCCCTCCAGCCAGGGGCGGGGCGCGAGCGGGTGCCCAGGGCAGAGTCAGTCTTCAGGGGCTTAGGCCTGGACACCACAGACGAACTCCCTTGCTCACCCACCCGCGCCTCCCTTCCGAGCCGGAAGAGCCAGATGAGAAAGATGAAGGGACGCTCGGGCCAGAGCGGCCCCGGGAAGACCCGCTTGGAGGGCGAGAGGGTGGGGGCCGAGTGGCCGCGATGGGAGGGACTACGGAAAGGAGGCGAGCGTCGCGGAGACGCAGGTCAGAGCGGCCCTGGGAGGACTGCGAAGCACCCAATCCCACCCCTCCACAGAGGGAGACTTCCGGAAACTTCCCCGCCCATTTGTTCCTAAACGCATGCGCAGCAGTGACCTCCTTGGCTAGTGAAGTGAGAATCACACATGCGCAGTGCTAAAATCGTAACCCGAACTCCCGGCGCAGGTGGCTGAGCGAACCGTCGGCCACTGGAGGGCGCCTCTACCTCTAACTGGGGAAGAGAAGGTAAAAATAAAGAAGCCGTACAATAAGAGGACTCTGCTAGATGATGATTCATATTTTCAGGGCTCCCAGATTCTGGGTCAACAAAAGGTCAGGTTATGCAGGCCCCTCCCAAGATACCATTTCACAGTTGGGCGCACTGTGGTCCCGAGCCTGGAACGGTTCTTGCTCAGCCCCGTCTCTGAGCACTGTCAAGATGTAGAAGAGCCCATCTTAAAGATAAAAACTCAACGAATCCTCTTTATTTTGGCAAGAAGGGGAAAAAAGTCTTTCTGCCAAGGACCTGAGGGAGGGCCTTCGGGATGGAGATAGGGTGAACAGAGTACGGGTGCTAGGTCACAGAGATCCCAAGGGAAGGTATGAGTCGAGACTAGCTTCACAACATCCGTCCCGGGAGCGGTGGCTCGGGGTCGCGGAGTCCTGGAGAGTCACAGGCAGGGTCCCGGCGATCGTCACTGGTTTTCCGGGGTCCGGCGGGGTCAGAGGTCTCGGAGGGGGCCAGGGGGCCGGAGGTCACGGAACAGCGGGAGCCCAGAATCCGGTGCCGCTCGGGGCAGGGGCTGAGGGAGGGGACGGGGAGAGCGGCTCCCGCGGGACCGTTTGGCACAAGAGTCGGGGGAAGGGGTCGGGAGCGGGACACTACGCACCCCTACCTGGGCGCGCGGGGTGGGGAGGTTTGGGAAGGCCGGGGTTGGCAGAGCCCTGGGGCCGGGATAGAGCGGGGATCCGGAGCCCGGCCGGGGCCCGGCGCGCGGCCCATGGGGCAGGCGCGGGCAGGGGTACTCAGACCGGGGGTGCGGTGCCCCCGGCCGTGTGCATGCTGAAGTATTCGGTGAAGCCGGTGTGCGGCGCCGCTGTCTGGGGCACGAGCGGCTGGTAGGGTGGCGTCGGGCCATCCCAGCTCGGGTCGGCCGCCTTGGGGAACCGAGAGGAAGGGGGCGGGGAGGCCGTGCCCCGCTCGGCCATGGTCACCACGCGGCCCCTCGGGGCCACCGCCGCCGCCACCGCTGTCTCCTCCACCTGCTTCCCGGCCTGGGAGGGGGGTCAGGGTCAGAGGCCGTCCAGGACCCACGGGGGGCAGATGCGGCCCCGAAGGCCCGTCCCTCTTCCCCCGATGATCCCCCCTCCCGAGGTGTGGGCGCAGGTGTCAGTCAGGGGCGCCTGGACAGTGGGGCCAGGTACTCAAGGGGCGGCGTCGGGGTGCGCCGGTCGAACTCCGGCGGCGGCCGGGGAGGCGGGGGAGAACCGCGGAAGGCCGCCGGTGGCGGGGGCACCGCGCGGGGTGTCCGAGGGGGCGTACGCAACAGCGCCAGGACCCAGTCTGGCAAGGTGGGCGCGGGCGCCGGGGGATGGTCGCGGCGCGGCGTTGGGGCGCTGGGGGTGCGAAAGGCAGGGGGTGGGCTCAGGCGCCTGGACGTGGAGGGCGGTGGAGGGGCCGGGAGCGGGGTTAAGTACTCCAGGGGCGGCGCCAGCAGCTCCTCCGGCGCCGGGGCCGCGGGGCTTACGCAGGAGGTGGGCGGGGGGATGGAGAAGAGCTCCGTGAAGTTGGGCACCGAGTCGCTGATGAACGTCACGTTCCCGTAGACGTGTTCCGGGAAGGCCTTGTCTGCGGATTGGCTTCCTCCGGGGCCTGGGGCTCCGGCCGAGGCGATCTGCGACGTGCGCACGTGGTACGGGAAGTTCTTGTTGGCCGCCGAAGGGCGTGTCATGATCTGGGGCGAAGGGCAGGCGCAGGTTGGAGAAGGACTGTCCAGGCCTCAGGCTGCCTCCATAAACATGAGGCCCTGAGGATTCCCCTTCACCTGACATCCCCGCTTCCCCGAAACCCTTCAACTGGCTTAAGCGCCTCCTCTGAGCTCTCGCAGTACCCTGGCCTCTAACCTTTCCCATCCATCACAACTCTTACTACTCTGCCGATGCTTCCTCCATCAGAGCCCTGATCAGCCAGTTATCACTTTAAGCGTCAGCATCCTACTCTGTCTAGTATGATAGCTACTAGTTACATGTGGCTATTTAAATTTAAATTAATCAAAATTAAACTGAAACTTTCATTTCTCAGTCACACTAGCCACATTTAAGTACTCAATAGCCACATGTAGTTAGTAGCTATTGTGTGGGACAGCACAGATTGTAGAATATTTTCATAAACACAGGGAGTTCAACTGGACAGCAACTGACAGACTCCAGAATGTTAGCTCCATGAGGGCAGGTACTTGACTGTTCTCTTCCCTGCTGAATCCCCAATACCTTTAGAACAGTGCCTGACACATACAAGCTCTCAAGAAATACTGGTTGAATAAGGAGATGTCTCCTGAATTAGCTGGCAGGCCATGAGGGCAGGGACCGGGTGTGACCCTAGCACTGCAACACGGGAGCCCAGCACAGTCCCTCTAAGGTAGTTGCTGAATAAGTGAACAAGGAGCTGAAACCGAAGAACAGCAGAGTGCCAGAGGTGGAGCTGTGCTGAGCTAACACGAGCATTTTTAGGAAGGAAACTGGTTGAAGGTTAAGTATAACAGAAAGGGCACCCCACCTCCCAGCCCCACAGCTCACTGAGTGTGGGATCTGGGACACATTGATTAAACTCCCAGAGCCTCACTGCAGAAAAGGGGTTACAGTGCCTACTTGGAAAGATGAAGAGAGGGTGGAAATGAAAACCACTGGTGCAGAGCCTGGCACATGGTGGGTTCTCAGCATTTCTCCTCTCTCTGTCTCTTTGTGACTTCCTGGAACAGAGCCTCAAGAGGGACTGTCCCGGGAAAGTGAGTCTGTACCTAAGGTTCTAGGGTAGAACATGCGGGACCTGGCCCCCTCCGTCAGCGGCCCAGTATATTCCCTGCAAAGAATACATGGTGGACCCCTTGAGTCAGGAGCCGGGGTCTTCAGCAATGCCTATTTCCCTGTGTGGTTCCTTCTTATGCCAGATCTTGTGGTCTGCTGGAGAAGGATTGGGTTCAAAGTCCCCCTGCCCTCCACCACCAAAGGCCATGGAGCCTGGCAGGTCACCTCCCTTCTCTGGGCTTTAGCTTCCCCTCTTTGTATAGTGGGTTCAGTGATGGTTATCCATCCTGTCTGGGGTTGCTCTGCCATTTAAACAAGAGGACGAAATAAATGCACGTGAGTGTTCCCAACATGAAACAGAGGCTGGTTTGAGACAGGTGTCCGTTGAATGGTGGATGGATGGATGGATGGATAGATGGATAGAAGAACTGTCAGCCAGAAGGCCAGATAGGATGTAAACCAAGGCAAAGAAGAGGTTTGGTGCTCAAACCCTCTGCTGCCATTCAGATTTAGGCCCCCTGAAGCCCCAGCCTGACCCACCCCAGTTGCTTCTTCCTGTGATAGAGCAGCAGAGATGGAAGAATGGGGGGGGGGAGGAGAGACCAAGGGGCTTAGGGAAGGCAGTGGGGATACAGAAGGGAAGAGTGAGAGTCTAGGGACACAGGGTCAGGATGGAAATGGGGAGGGGGGCAAAGAAAGAGGGTGGGGTTGGGGGAAGAGGCCAGGACACAAAAGTGGGAGAGAGGAATAGAAGAGGGTGGACTCTGGGGGATACAGTGGAATAGCCTGCCAGACCCAGCAGGCTCTCAGTAAGTGTCTATTGAATGACTAAAGGGATGAAGTGAAGGAAATGGATCAAGAGCTCAGAACAGAAGGTTCAGGCAGCTCAGGCGTGGAGAGCCTCATGCATCCTCCACCCATGGGTTTCCCATCCCCAACTGGATGCCCAGCCTCACCAGGAACACGCCGTGGGCATACAAATGGATCCCCAGCTGGATGCCATTGACAATCTTCTCCCGGGCCCACTTGGGGATCCCAAAGTTGGCGATCAGGGCCATGACCGGAACTGCAAAGAACCTGAAGGGGAGGTATTGGGTCTGTAGAGTCACTGGCCCTGCCTTCCACCCCACCCCATGGCCCCAAATACCCTGCTATGCACACACATAGGTCCCAAGTGGGTCCCAAACTGGAGGGAAGCCAGTGTGACCTTCAGAAGCCAGAGGTTAAAAGGAGACAGGAATCCCACTGGCATGGGAAATTTGGGTGGGGGGAGCAAGGAGTAGGTTGAATTTAACTCAGTTCTATCCCACCCCAATCCTGGCACCTGATAGGAAATCTATAGATGTTTGATGAATGAATTAACATATGATAAAAACAATTAAAGACTTACTGCATGCCAGACCTGTTTCTAAGCATTTCACATATATACGCTCATCTAACTCTCACAGTGACTCTATAAGGCAGGTACAACTTCCATCCCCATTAAACAGATGAGGAAACCGAGGCAGAGAGAACTTAATTGACTTGTATAAGGTCACACAGTTTACAAGCTTTAGAACTGGGTCTAAACCCAGGCAATCTGGCTTAGAATCCATCTACTTTACTGCTGTGTTATGTTGAATAAAAAATATCACAACTAGCTTTTATTGGACATTTACTATGTGCCGGACTCGAAGCCCTCATCTGTTGCCCTATGCAGACTCAAGATAACCCTTTGCAGGAGATACCCCTGACAACCTTTCTTTATGGGCAAGTAACCTGAGGCACTCTTTTTTTCACTATGGGAAAGTAGTTATTTCCAGGTTACAAAGTGAGTAAGTGGCAGACTCTGGTGACAGCTGCCTAACTTGAAAGCCCGTCTGCCTCCAAGAGGAGGGTTTGAGTTGGGAAGAGCCATTTCTGAGAAGCCCGGGAAGGCAGGGACAGGTTGGGGCCCCAGCACGTCTCACCAGAGGGTGTAGGCAGCAAAGAAGGGCAGATAAAAGGGCTGCTTCTCTGGGAAGTGGCGCAA